TGTGCTAACCATTCGGCCATCCAATCCCCCCCCCCCCAAGTGAGGGACAGTGTTTTAGATCTGACATGACCTATTTGTAGTGAGGGACAGTGTATTTTGTTATTTTTGCTATTTTTTTTAAGATTTCAAATCTTCTTAAGAATTTGGAACTAACAGCTTTTTTTTTGAAGAGCAACCAAGCATATTTTTTTTTCAGAAGAAATAGGAAGGAAAATTTGAATAGGTGTGGCTTTAATCTCTTGCAAACTAACACCTATGTAATAGTAATCTTTTGGATATTAACACCTATGTAATATTATTATAAAGTATGTAATATTACTGGTCTATGAATCATTAAATACCTTTAGATAAAGATCATTGACAATATAATACGGTATACAATGACATAACATCTACATGTAATACCTTATAATTTATTAAATAGACATTATTAACTCTTAATTACATACAATATGTCATTAATTACTTTCCTATATACAACAAAACATTATACAATGTGGACATTTAATATCTTATTCTTATAGCCGGTTCAGACGCTTATTTTTAAACCAGTTCATAATCGCTGGGGTTTTTAAGACGGCATCATGTTGCGTTCACACATACTATAAGCCAAACCAGTTTAACTATTCTGACCTCTTCGGTCGGAGGTTAGAGTTAACTACGCATGGGTAGCTGCATATTCTTTATACGGTTCTCACACGCTTTCGATAACATTGGCACTGTCTGACCCCGATATTTTCACAGAAATGTAACTTTTTGCGTACTGCGCATGCTCAAAGCAAGCTGAAGCCGGGGTTTTTAAGCCAACCCGTTCAGACGGCTAAGATGAACCAGCTTAAAATAAAAAGCCTTCTTGAAGACAGGTCGCGAGCAGGGGTTTTTAAACTCAATTATTTGCCCCACATTTGCAATCAGACGACAAAATTAAACTAGTTTAACGATCCTCAAGGTTTTTTAATCCAGTTCAACTTAAGCGTCTGAAAGGGCTGTTATATTACATTTCTACAAGTCGAAATATGAAAGCATTAAAGAGGCATTAAGGGAGATTAGATAAAGAGTTGACTGTTTCGGGAATAATAGTTAAAATATAGCTAATTATTCAAATAAAATTGAACCATTTGTTAGTCCCGAAATGACCTATTTTGTGTCAAGTGGATGTTAAACCTTTCTCTTTGTATGATATACATACATTTAGAAAATACATAAAAGCCTGTGGGCCTATTGAAAGATCATAAAGTTTGTTTTTTTCAACAATGACCTAAAAAATATTATTTTGAATAAGGATGTAAATTACAGTACATTAAGTCATTTCTCTTTCATCTGATAAAATATTGTCTATTAGTCAGCCTACTCAATAAAAAACTAATCTATGAACAAACCTGGGAAATAATCGTGTGATACATTTTCAGTCGTTGATTAACATTATGACCTCCATTAGTAAGATAGATAAATCAATTTTGAAGAATTAAATTGGTACGAAAAGGTAGAACGTTGATGTGGTGGCTCAGAAATAAATTTGGGTTTCGTTTTTTTATAAAACCCACATTTTTGGAACAGATTATTGGATTTTAATGCATAATTCATTAATGATTTGACTGAAAGATATTTTATGTCTTCCAAGTAAAAAAGTAAACCATACTTATGGAACTAATTATTTTATTTCAATACAATAATTCATCAATGATATTGTCTTGTGTCCTCCTGAGTACCGTATACCGGTACATATTCATATTTTTAAAGAATTAAGAAGAAGGTGTGACTTCAACTTCTGGGTGTGAACTTTGAACTCTAATCTGATTCTTTCATACAAACATGTAATCTTGTATGAAACACAATGCATGGCTGCCCTCTTTCAGTGCTGATATTAAAACATATCCATTTCATTAATCCCTGCCTATTGTCAACAAAACGTGGCAACAGAAGTATTTGTTTTATTTTATTGCTAAACAATAATCAAGATTTGACATCAACAACCGTTTTATATGAAATCACTGACAGGTTTAATGCTACCATATATTCCTCGTCTGATAACATCAGAAAAATGGCTACCCAGAAGCTTTTATTTACACGTCATGATCTGATTAATTCAATGGTGATCAAAGAATTCTTTAATGGATGCCTAAATCCCACCCTAAAGCAAGTTTTTTGCAAGGTTGGTTGGTCAAAGTGTTGGGGGATAAATTAGCTTGACAATAGGGTAATTTAAGAAAAATGTTTAATTGCCATGGTTATGACCTTTTGTCCTTGAACCCTATCAGAGCATAACCTTTGAACAAATACTTGTCAGTATTCAAAAGCCTTTTCTCTGAAATTCAATATTTGATCTAAATCATGAATGAGTTTTTTTCACAGTTCACAACAAGAATAATAAATGCATGGTTGATCGCCTTTCTTGCATTGGTTTTTATGCATGTTGTATGTTCCAAGCTACTGCTCTGACAAAGTTTTTCTTTAAAGATAGATTATGGGAGATAAGATAAAGAGCTGGTAGTTCTCACTATAATAGTTAAAAACTAGATAATGTAAAGGCAATTTGCTGAAAATTTCAGTCAAATTGATCCACTATGAACCGAGAATTAAGCGATTGAAATTTCGACCTATCCTCGATCATCATTGATCATCCATTTCATGATTGAATTATGAATGGAAGTCGAGCAGCAAATAGGACCATAATCCAGTAAATATTGCAGGCTAGCGATGCCATCGAGAGTTGATTATGGTCTGGATAAGTTAATTAATGTCTAATTAATAATTTAGAAAACATTTCAGGCCTAAAGAAAGACCTGCAATTGGGAGATTTAGCTCTTGCATAATGTATGTTTAACTTTTCAGCTTCATGTGACATATTTGATCAATTACATGTTTAATTGTTTATAATATATAGAAAAAGGTTAAAAGCTATGGCACACTAAAATATATTTTTAAGCGCTCAGTCTCTATTCTTGGACGTTTAATCTATTGGATGATTGAAAGTTAATTAAATTTTTTTAATTTAGACCAGAGGCGGATCTAGGAATTTTGAAAAGGGGGGGCGCTGCAAAATGAAGGCATTGACCGCGGAGACGGGACACGCCGCTGAGGGGGGGGGGGGGGCCCAAGAAAATTATCCGTCATTTCCTTGCATCTGTAGCCATTCCAAGAGCTATTTCCCAGATTGGTGTGTTTGAGTCGATGGTTTGAGTCATTTGGGATCCCTACAACGGGTTGGGAATGGACATATTTGAGTCTGAGAAAAGGCACTTTCAGCAGTAAAAAAGGGCACTGTCGAAAATTAGGGGGGGGGGGGGTCCGCCTCTGTAGACATTCACTAGAAATTTTCTCACCTCACTCTGCTCGGCAAACCATTTATTGTAGATGTGTAAAAATTTGAAATGATTAAAATGACTTTGTTTACTCCCCCCCCCCCACACTCCTTACCACCACTTGACATAAAATTTTGACCACACCACCCTCTTGTCTCTTTTCCGATTTTTTGAACTAAATTTTTACAGCTTCTCCAAGCACCCCCACCCCCTGTCACCAAATCTGGTTACGCCACTGGTCTGAACAGCATATTGAATTGATTTCACACCAGAACATGTGTGATTTAACATGAGTGTGTGGTGAAATATAGAACGCATGAATATTATAAATACAAGCTCTAATCATTATCTAGGTCATACCAACATTTTCTAATATTGCACAGTATTAAAGAAAATTAGTCCTATTAAACATGCATTATGCAAGAGCTAAATCTGCTTATTGCAGGTCTTTCTTTAGGCCTGAAATGTTATATAAACTATTAATAAGACATTTATTATCTTACTAAGACCATAATCAACTCTTGAAGCCATTGTTACCCTCGATATTTAGTGGATTTTAATACATTTTATGATGGATGACATAACCGTAAAAATGGATAATTGAGACTTTGTTTATTATCGCTAGCCTATAATTGAATCGCTAATATCTAGGTTATGAGTGAAGTAATTTGACTGCAATTTTCAGCATATTCTCTTTTCATTATCTTTTTTTTAACTATTATTGCGAAAACTTTCAGATCTTTATCTAATCTTACCTAATTCTCCTTTAACTGTAGTTTCTTAGGTTCTTGGATAATATGCAACAATTGTCATCTTAGTTACCAAACACATGGCCAGGTACCGGTACACTTGTATTTGGAAGATGTTTATTCAGTATAAAAGGAAGATTTGAAAGAGTAATAACAGATCATTAATTATATGATATAAGCTTAAATCATAAAACATTACATTAATTACTATTGTGACGTGTATCATTATCAGAAGTGAATGATGCAGATGTAACATCATGCTTGGATGTTGGCTTACCATTATTTCAAATAATGTACCGGCAAGTTTCAAGCCCCCCCCCCCCACACACACACACCCTGCTCATACAGGAGGCAACCAAGAGAGAGCCTTCAGAAATGGCCCCAGATGCAAGGAAACCAACTTTAAACATTCAAAATTTTCCCCACCTCAGGGCTCTGTGATCAGACAGGCCGGAACAGACCCCCTCCCCCCTTGATCATTTTGCTACATAGCTCCTGTTGACAGATATTCCTTTTAGAGATTCAAATTTCCATAATATTTGTTTGCAAGGAACCAATACACTTTAACAATTATGGAAGAACAATTACTGACATTTGGAGGAGTATTCTCTCAACGTTTTCAATCCCTCAAATGACATACAGATTTTTATAAAATTAAATATCTCAATATAATGTGTGGTGATGAGATGATATGAGTGAGAGAGAGAGAGAGAGAGAGAGAGAGAGAGATAAGATAAGAAAGTAGGCCTGAAATAAAACACTATAGGGTATGTTTACATTGATAGCATGATTTCACTGATGACTGCCAAACTCATCAACAATTCTTACATAAATATTGCTATTTATATACCTCCTTATACCCTCATATAATATCTGCAGACAAGGTACTCTTAGTGCCATAATATCTGCAGACAAGGTACTCTTAGTGCCATAATATCTGCAGACAAGGTACTCATAGTGCCATACATACCCTCCTATCATATCTGCAGAAGCATTTGTGTTCCTTGCAGACTTGTGAAGAATTTGATTGGTGAGCTTCACATAACTTCACTCACTCTCTGTTTTGTTATCATTGGAGAGACTTTTGATCCGAGAGCAGACCCTCATTCAAAACCTTCACCTTTTGTCAGAAGTAGAACTCAGCATACCTGTGTAGGTACACTGGAGCTTTGTTTCATATCAACAGATACAGTTGTATTTCTAGCAGACTTGTCAGCAGTTCGGAAACTTCTCTTTCTTTTGTGTGAAAAACAACAAGAGCTGACCATCAACTTTTGTCAGAAGAATAAATCAGTTTACCTGTAGGAGGAAGCAGACGAATTGATTCTTCCATAAGAGAGGATTTAAATGGCTGCCTGTTTGTGTAGAAGAACCAGGGGTTAACAAGTCAAAGTATTCTATTTCACTAATAATTTCAAGTAGTTTGGATATTTTTAGCCTGAAGAGTTGCTTCTACCTGGATTAAGTTTCACTCAATTCCTCTTTGTTGCTTGTCTTACAGCGTGCGGGGAGTTCCTGCTGTAGTGTGCGTATTAAGATAACTAACTACAAGCCCAGTTGAAAAATTTCAACGATAATTTATTAGTGTTCCTTGTTTGTTCAAGATAGCAGGTTGTGTAGGTTATAATACCTTGGATTATAATTTATTAGGGAGAGTGGATAGATAGTAGATATATCACAGTGCTTATAAATTTTTACACAGGAAAGGAGGTAGTTAGCAGAGCTTATAATGTTCACAATCAATTTGCCGAAGTTCGGCGATGAAGCCGTTGATTCGTTCTTTAGTGGTGATGGTGGCACCAGTTTTGGTGGCTCGTCATTTGGAGGAGGAGGAGGAAGAAGTGGCGGTAAGACGACAGTTATCCGAACGACCTACGGAGGAGGTGGAGATCCAACGGTCACCCGAACGACCTACGGAGGTGGCGAGCCATCATACGGGGGTGGAACCTCAAGGTATGGAGATAGTACCCCAAGCTATGGAGGGGGCAGCTCAAGATATGGGGATAATACCCCAAGCTATGGAGGAGGCAGCTCAAGATATGGTGATAACACCCCAAGCTATGGTGGGGGCAGCTCAAGATACGGAGGGGGCAGTCCAAGATATGGAGGGGGTGGCTCAAAATATGGAACTGGAGGCTCGTCCAGTGGTGACGGAGGTACTGCACCAGCTACTGGCTCCCGTCGGAGCCGTTATGGCAACAAAAGCGTAAAAGGAGACACAAATCGCGACATCGGTATTGGAGGCAGAAGTTGCAACAGTTCTCGAAGTGATCCCTTTGGTCAGGTTTACAACCAGAAATATTCTGAGATCAAACAAAGATGTCGGCAGCGGGGAGCATTATTTGAGGATGATGAGTTTCCAGCTATTGATAATAACATTTATTTCACGCAGAAAACCAGGCGGTTTGAATGGAAACGACCAGGTGTAAGTTGTTATATTTTGTTTCTTCCGGGCGTTATTATTGGAAATAAAAACCCTTTACATGGTTAACTATTCTATACCACTTTGTACATGTAAACATTGACTTCCTCAGTTCCTCGGTTGTATGTGACAAGGAGTACGGCCGCCTGTCTAACCTCATGGGTTTTCTCCAGGGTCCTCCGGTTTCCTCCCACTGCTAAAGACCCCTACACGCAAGCGAATTAATGAAATAAAATTGAACCATATGTTAGTCCCGAAATGACCTAGTTTGTGTCGAGTGGATGTAAAACCTCATTTCTCTCTCTCCTCAGTTCCTTGAAGAAAGAATAATAGAATGTTAAAACCCATTTCATTTCATTACATTTCCTTGAAGAAAATTAGATAATTAGAAATATTGTTAATAATTTATAAAAAAAAAACAACATTTTTTGGGGTCATTTACAAACTTATTGAACCTGTAATAAACTCCACATTTCTCAAATATGATGTTTGAAAACTCTTATTTCTTCAATTGGTTGGCTACCAGTGGAATGTTTGTTTACAGTAAGTGACATTATTGAGAGATAAACAACTGATATTACTCAAGAATATTTCAGTAACTGGAGCTAAACTGTTAGAATTTCTAAATTATTTTACCCAGAACCGAAAAGAACAAAGAAAGAACAGATATGGTAATATTATATAAATATTGTTTACATAATATATAAATTTAAAAATAAAAACTAAACTAATAATTCCATCTTAAAATTTGAAATCAAGAATAAATGGCCAAACACTTCATTTCTTGTAATCAACAAATAGTATGATTAAAAGCCAAAAATTATAGACTTATCGTGGCTTTCATGTGTTAAACGTAATCTTGTAAACGGTAGCAATTATAAAATTTATGACTAATGTATATTGCGAAATTTGATCTTGTAACAGACAGTAAATTACATATCTGTACATACACACCTTTAATTCAACAGTTATTGCTAACAAACTCTGATAACTTGAACATGTAGGCCAAGAACGTTTGTCAGGATTTGCCCGTCATGTCTCTTCTTGTCAGTGGTAGGCTACTGGATGAGAGCCAGACAAGGAAAAAGTATATAATCATTCAGAAGGGATGAAAAACCAAGGTTCTATGTACTTGTTAGAATTCAATTATTGTCTGGGCAAAATTTTCTTCATAGCACACTGTATGGTATATACCTGTCTTTATTAGCCCAGTCGGTGCAGAACAGTAGGACGTTAAACTCCATTTCATTTCATTTCACTTCCCCAAGAGGAAATAACACCATATCTCATATTCTCACCTTCTTACAAACAAACCTCCTACAGGTCTGAGTCATGCTATCTCTTCCTGCCTTCATCATCATGATAATTATCTTAAACAAATAAATCATGTCTTGTATCAAGATACACAAAACCCTTGACACCTCACCAAAATATTTTGCAATAAAAAACAGAGTGAGAGAGAAATGGGGTTTAACGTCCACTCGACACAAACTAGGTCATTTTGGGACCAACACATGGTTCAATTTTATTTTAATAATTCGCTTGCGCGTAGCGGTCTTTAGCAGTGGGAGGAAACCAGAGGACCCGGAGAAAACCCACAAGGTTGGACAATAAAAAAGAAGGTGATAGTTGGAAAGTAGATATTGTGCTGCCTTCTTTACATTTTCAACATTTCTAATCAATGGACGAAGTCTGAATTTTTGAAATGGTTGTGATGATTTAATTATGCTGAGTATGCTTTTGGAACATCTAATGCTATATTTTAGTTGGTTTTGTTTTTGCTATCTTATATCTAACTTCATGTAAAGGGGTCTGCTATATAACATACATGTACTTCCAATATGGGTATGAAAAGAAGCAACAGAACCGAAGGTTTTAGATTTGTTGTCGAGATCAACGGTCAATAGACCCTAAAACTCTATCCCTAACCCACAAAATAGTCAGCATTCCCCTATGTCATGGGTTTTCTTTGAACTCTTCGGTTTCTTCATAATTCCTGGTTTCTGGTTATGCATAGCAATAAACAATTTGACAGCAAGATGCTTATTAAAATGATAAAAGTTTAATAAGTAATTAATGAATGTTATCTATTAACACGAGGGATATTGGGCTTACTGTCTGCTTTACCTCGTCGGTTTTCTCTGAATCCTTCAATTTCCCCCACTTCTAAAGACACCTCTCTCTTTCTTTATGATTTCTGTTTTCTAATTCGTGTATAGATCTAAAACCCGAACCCCAACCCACAAACTGGTGGGCCTTTCCGAATCTCATATTTCTTTGAATCCATCGATTTTTTCCCACTGCTAAAGGCTTGTCTCTCTTTCTTCAAAATTCCTGTTTTCTGACTTGTATTGTAAACTGACCACCTGGAGTGAGTGTATAGGTATGTAGATATATGTTTGTGGTTAATAAAAGTGAGAAAAGCAACTGGTATATAACATCTGTTTATATCATTTGGGTTTTACTCCAGCTTCTCAGATAACCTCCCACTGATATACATGTTAGTCTCAGAATGACCTGGTTGTATTGAGGCAATGTTTACGTTATTCCGAAACGGCGGTGCAGTGATTAAGGTGCTGGATCATTTACTAGGAGAAAGTTCTTTGGGATTAATATGTTAGTCTCAGAATTGGAGGGGGCGATGGTTTAGTGGTTTAATGCGTGTGTGTGAAATTGTGAAATCACAAGGCCTGTCATTGAGTCAACTGGACTGGGTTTGATTATCCATTTGTACATGACACATAGCAGCACACTGCTTGGTGTATGCCCATCTTCATCAGCCCGCACCGCCCACATAGTGCATCATCATGGTGTATGGTGTCATCATTAGCCTCCCCCTCATAGAACCTTATGGTGTATGGCCATTTTCATTAACCTGTTTGATACCTAAGGGTAGAAGATAAAACCCCATTTCATTTTATTGGTAATGGTCAAGTGGTCAGATGGTGTATGTTGAGACATGTGTTTGAAACTTGGGATATGTTAATGAGGTATATAACGGCTCATCTAGTGATGTTTGATGTCTGGGTGATATTTACCAGGTGTTGAGATGACTGTGCTGGTATTTTTATGCATACAGCTTAACGTATGGAAGAAAGATGGAAAATAAGGAAAATGTTAGGGTAATAAGGGATGATAGCAGGAGAATATTGGGCGATTGTTGTGGCCAATGTTAGCGAAATAGTGGGTGATGGTAGGAGAATAGTCAGCGATCGTAGGGGAAGAATGCTAGAGGAATAGTGGGCAGCTGTAGGGAAATGACGGATCCATACTTTCTTATATGCAAATTGAAATTTATTTGAATTTTGATAGTTGTTTCTTGGTCAGGGTAGATGCTTGTTTTATAGTTCCAAGGAGGGCCATCGGGGACTGCATTCTCCCCAATAATTTGCAAATATGTGTTCATTAGATTACAAATCCCCAAACCCCAACCCACCTCACCTCACCTCACCTCACCCCACCCCCACCCAATATGAATTTCATTCAGACATGATAGAGAGTATAAAAGCCCATACTTCATTTTCCCCAATAATTTGCAAATATGTGTTCATTATTTTAAATATTCTCCTCGATACACTGAGCTCCAAACCCCACCATACCCCACCCCCACCAATATGAAAATCATTAAGACAGACATGATTGAGAGTACAATAAACCTATACAGGTCAAATATAAATATACAATGGGAGTTGTAGTTTGTAGAGTTATTGATTATTAAATTGCAGAGCTGTGTTTACTGAACTATGAATATTAATAACATTTTATATTATACATTTATGGTCATTGATAAACAATAAAAATAATGAAATTAAGCGGACAGACCCTTAATTTTTAGATCTAGTTGAATATGTGAGAGAGAGAGAAATGGGGTTTAAGGTCAACTGGCGTGGTTTCGATTTCCCGCTTGTATGTGACAAGGAGTTGGTTCACCTGTCCAACCTCGTGGGTTTTCTCCAGGCCCTCTCACAGCTAAAGACCCTTACGCGCATGCGAATTATTGAAATAAAACTGAACCATATGTTAATCCCAAAATGACCTAGTTTTGTGTCGTGGACGTTAAACCCCATTTCTCTCTCTCCCTCCCTCCATTCACTTGATTTTATAAAAACAGATTTGTCTTGAGTATATGTGTGGCGCAGACATCCTGCACGTTCTCATAGTAGCGGGTGGCACTGCTATGTGCGAATCAGGAAGAGTTTATTCTCTCAAGAATACCTGATAACAGGCTGACGATTTTGTTTATATTTTTGTGCTAAAGGAAGTTATTAGAGTTGATATAGGATGCAGCCCATCAACTAATTTCCTTATCTGGTTAGAAACATGTAGGAATTCAGCTTTCTCTCTCTCTCTCTCTCTCACGCTCTCTCTCTCTCTCTCTCTCTCTCTCTCTATCTAGTATGGGATGTTTTAGTTTTAGGTTTGAGCACAGTAGAAGGTGTCATTAAGGCATGTATGCATCTAAACTTAAAAGTTCAACCAAGTTTTGATGCCTACTGAACTTCTTGTTAACGTTTTGTGACATTTTATCATGTGACCTGTCTGAATCACTTGTGTTATATTCCCTACTTGGGTAAAACTTAACTAAAATGTCCACCAGTAATTATATATGTTTTATTTACTGGTGACAGTTGTTTGTCATATATAACTGACGAATGGCCTTGTTTACCCATTGGACCTTTATTTAAATAACCATCTACCTTATTCAACCCTCTGGCTTATTGTCCAGTCTAAAGTATATATTGTATAGAGAATGAGTATATGCTAGTATACACGGATATATATCTAGATCTGATTCACTGATATATTGAAAGGCTTGAGAATCATATCTATTTTATTGAGGGAGGAATACAATATTATCCTGTTCTTACAATAATCTGTACTTAAGCTTTTTATTGGGCTGGGAAAAAAACCATAATGTCCTCTTCCTTCAATTATCTGTACTTTAATAAACAAGCCTGGAAATAAGGCATATGTGACAGACATTGTCAGGTACGAATTCTGGCCTTGTCCAATGCAGACTTCTGGTACCTGTCATGTTGTTGTGTTCAAATTTGTCTATTTTCAGGGAGGGGGGGGGGGGATGGGGGTATAAATTTCTGGCAAGGATTTTTTTAAATGTCAGGTACTAACTAGTTCATTGGTTCCTGAAATTTTGTCACTTGTCATCTACAACTGAAATATTGCTTCCAGGTCTGTGTACTTAACCCAACCCTTTCTATTGAGCTAGAATAAAACAATATTATCTTGCTCAAGTGTCTGTACTTACAAATTATGGATGATACATGTAATTACAAAATATCACCAGTTATTCTTTTTATTCTGTGCCAAAGTTTATTTCAAATTAGCCAGAACAATATTTTCCTGCTCATACAAGTATTTGTACTTAACCCTATAGATGATAATTACAAGATATTTCTAGTAACTCGTTTCATTCTGTGCCAAAGTTTATTTCAAATTAGCCAGAAATATAAGCAATTTACAACTGACTTCTCTTTGATACAATTGCTGCAGAGCCCGTAATCAAGTCATGCTTATATTCATTCAAACATACAGCAGCTAGGCTCACGTCTGTAGAATAAAGAATCCGCAGTTGTACGTGACAAGGAGTAGGGTCGCCTGTCCAACCTCGTGGGTTTTCTCCGGGTCATCCTGTTTCCTCCCACTGCTAAAGACCCCTACACAAAATCGAATTCTAGAAAAAAAATTGAACCATGTGTAAGTCCCAAAATGACCTGGTTTGTGTCAAGTGGAGGTTAAACCTCATTTCTCTCTCCCCCTCTCCACCAGAGAAGGAATTTTCCCATGATTTACAGGCTGGAGTGATGGGGATATCCTTGACATTTCTATATTGCTTCAGTTGTAAGACTATGCCTGCCTTTATTGTAAGAAATGTCAAGAATGACAAGTCAGGTATTTTTATGGCCTTCACCTCGTTATGGTTTATATTATCATCTCAAGATGGAAGTAGTCTTTCATCCTGAACAACATTAAATTGATTGGTGCATGAAACAGAGGTGTAAATCCAACATATAGCCAATTTCATGAGTTGCAGAAATCATTAGCTATGTTGTATGAGTTTCATTAATCAATAGATATGTTGCATGCATTGCAGAAATAAATAACTATGGGAACACACTGGATAAATGAGACAGAAGTGTTATTGGATGTTTCCTAAAAAGTAAACATACCCTGCCTCATGCATGATATTTGTCTCCTACTCCTATACAAGTAGATCGGAGGTCCAAGAATGAATCCTGGTGGCTTTTGGATTTTCTGAGGTAGATTCACCAAGTTAATGTTGCAAGCCTGGCAAGGAAAAATGCCTAGTCATCATGATGGCATGCACTTAAAAGAACCATTGGCAGTTGATAATAGAAATAAAAATAACCCTGTGTCTGTCTCGAAATAACCAAAGTATTATGTTGATAGAACATTAAATTCCACAGCCTGGAAGATGGATTAGGGCAAGAAGGGTTTTAACATAAACATGGCAAGTAGATGTTTCCCATCTTCACTGATATATCTACAGACAGAGCTTTGTGAAACACCACATCAACGAACAATACTGAAAATTCATATGCATATCAATCCTTAATTGCTGTTTTCATGCAGCTCTATATTGATCTTAAAGACCAATTACAACAATTCACAATGGTAACAGTTAGTAAAATCTGGTTTAGCCATATTGGCCTATCCTGAAATAAATGCCAGGGAATGCTGGCCTCTAGGATGATGGTTGCTATAGATAGACTGATGTAGAATGAAAGTAATGAATCAGTAAATTCCATCACTATCTTACACCATTATCTTGTTAACAGTCTGACTTTAATCACATGGACTTTAATGTTGGGAATAAATCAGGAGGAGATAATCTGTCCTAATTTAAAGACCACACCTACATAAGATATGAGAAAACTTTGTTTAAAATGTGTATTTTCTGTTTTAGACAGTTACATTACCCTGTTTTCACATACGGTATCAGAAACCCACTGTACAAACAAAATTCGACACACACCCCCCCCTCATTTATGCTATAATGTTTGCCAGGGCTGATGGCTAAATTGACATTTCCCATGAATTGCACTATAATGTTTGAAGGCTAAATTGATATCCCCATCAACTACATTATAATATTATTTGAAGACTCACAGTGAGAGTGGATATGACAAAAAAAAGTGAGGGAGAGAAATGGGGTTTAACATCCACTCTACACAAACTAGGTCATTTTGGGACTAACATATGGTTCAATTTTATTTCAATAATTTGCTTGCGCGTAGGGGTCTTTAGCAGTGGGAGGAAACTGGAGGACCCGGAAAAACCCCACGAGATTGGACAGGTGGCCCTACTCAATGTCACATGCTAACCATTCGGCCATCCAACCCCGCTCAACAAAAAAAGTGAGGTCCCATGTACACTTAGGAAGGTGGATTTTGACAAAGAGTAGGTAGAAACGATGTTGTTCAAGCAAAATTTCCCTCATACTACACTGCATACAGTTTATGCTCATCTTCATTAGGTGGGGTTGGATGGTTAGCATGTGTGCGTTGTATCATAAGGTCTGTCACTGACTCAACTGGCATGGTTTCAATTCCCTGGTTGTATGTGACAAGGAGTACGGTCGGCAGTCTAACCTTGTGGGTTTTCTCTGGGTCCTCGGGTTTCCTCCCACTGCTAAAAAACATGTATGCGCAAGCTAATTATTGAAATAAAATTGAACCACGTGTTAGTCCCGAAATTACCTAGTTTGTGTCGAGTGGACAATAAAACCCGATTTCTCTCTCTCTCATCTTCATTAGCCCAGTTAGTGTAGAAAAGTGGGAGGTGAAACCCAATTTTATTTTGTTTATGGATGATCCACACGACTAGATGAGATAAATATCTGTTGTGATATATTTTAGTATTTTACCATGTTTGTTATATGAGAAAAGGTTAGTTTATATTGGGCATGTTTCCAGTTAGTTTTTGTATAGACTTCTTTTACTGTTAAGTTATAAATGGCTGAAGTAGGGTGTAGATTCTTATAGTGTGATCTCTACCGCAACCCAGCTTACTTGTGCTGGTCTGTAGCGTAAGTTTGATCATGCGCTGCTAATCATGGTTAAGGAACGAGTGCCAGCGTCAAGTAGCGTAAAGTGTCATGTCAGCCAATGTGAAAGTTTACGTATGAAAATTTTAAGGTGTTCCAAGTCGTCATTAAAGATGTCAATTCTTAAAACTAAAACTTTGAAGATTGTCTTCCCATAACTTAAACCACATCCCCGCTTACTCTTTCTTATTTGTAGAGTACTTTTCATCATGCGCTGCTAATCAGGGTTTAATGAACGGATTTTAACGTCGAGTGGCTTAAAGGATCATGGTCGTCAATGTGAAGGTTTACAAGTAATCATGGCCGATTGGTTAGCGTGTGCAAGTTGTATCATAAGGTCTGTCATTGAGTCAGTTGGAGTGGTTTTGATTCCCTGGTTGTACATGACAATTATAGGGTCACCTGTCCAATCTCGTGGGTTTTCTTCAGGTCCTCCGTGCAAGCGAATTATTGAAATAAAATTGAACCATAGGTTAGTCCCGAAATGACATGTGGACATAAAACTCCATTTCTCTCTCTGTCTCTTGTTTGATTTGAAGTATATTTATATAAACACAGTAAAAAACGAAATCTCTTCCTCTCATATCTAGACTGTTATTTTGCAGTTAAAAAATACATTCCATAGTATTTATAGACTGATAATTATATTTAATGATAGAATTGAGACTTGACCTAAATTTGTTAATCATGTCGAGGATGTTACTTGTTCAGTACTTGTATGTATATATCATAATGTTCTATCACTGGTGCCAATATATCTAATGAGATGGTTTCATATTTCACATTCCACTCTTAGTAATTAATACATGTACTTCTATTTTACCTTTAAATAACCAGGCCTAGGATAGAATTAATGATTTTAGTTTTACCTGACTAAATGTCAATTTCTACCTGAGATTGTATTAAAAATATTAATAAAAACACTGACAAAAAAGCGATAAAATACTGGACAAAATGACAAGCATGAGAAGAATTATATTTGATAAAGTCTGAGTTAATGCGCAGAACTGTCAACCAAAATGTGCCTTGGCACCTGGAGGGGAGGGGGAGAGAGAGAGAGAGAGAGAGATTTAATGTCCACACAACACTACTTCACAAGGTCATTTCGGGACTTACATATGGTTCAATTTTATTTCATTAATTCGCTTGCGGTAGGGGTCTTTAGCAGTGGGAGGAAACCGGAGAAAAGCCATGAGGCTGGACAGGCGACGCTGCTCCTTGTCATGTACAACAGGGGAATCAAAACCACGCCAGTTGACTCAATGATAGACCTTATGATACAATGCACATGCGCTAACCATTTGACCATCCACCCCTGGACGGGACAAAAAAGAAAAAAAAATCCATGAAGTCCACCTGTGTACGTAAAAGAACCCTGGACAGATGGAATTCCATGAAGTCTCCATAGAAAAAATATCTGTATGTTAGTCTAAAAATTATAATGTTTTGTATTGACAAGATGTTGGCGGGGGTTGGGTGGCTGAATGGTTAACACATTCACGCTGGATCCGAAGGTCTGTCATTGAGTTAAGTGACGTGGTTTCAATTCCCTGCTTGTGCATGACAAGGTGTAGGGTCGTCTGGCCAACCTCGTGTTTCCTCCCACTGCTAAAGACCCTACGTGCAAGTGACTTATTGAAATAAAATTGAACCATATGTTAGTCCTAAAATGACCTAGTTTGTGTCAAGTGCACATTTAACCCCCATCTCTCTCTCTGTTGTATCTCGATCAATTACATCCAAGTTTTGACCTTTAAAACAAGATTCATATATTAATTCATCATATTAAAATGCATTAATTTTGTCTTCTTGCAGGAGATCTGTGATGACCCACAATGGATTTCTTCAGGTGCCAGTCGATTTGATGTCCGGCAAGGAGAACTTGGTAAGTTTTCATTCATACATGTAGTTCATTAAATAGACATCATTTGCAGGGGCTGAAACAGAAACTACGCAAAAGTGGGCTGTGGAAATACTTTTTACATCATGCAATTTGATTAACGCTTTCGTAACTATGGTTACTGGCGTACTAAAGCCCAGCTCACAGCCCGCCGTATGTGCTACTATGGGCAGCTTACGGGGGAAATTTTAGTAAACCTGCATGTGAGACTTACATTATACATCACTTGCCTGTGTTCAGCTCCGTAGAAACGATTCTAATAATAAAATTATACCCAGTAGCCCGGCATACTATGAGAACTTGAAGTTCTGCGTTTTGTATCAGGTAAAATAAAGGGGTCATCAACTAATATATGTAGTAATATCTGACAACGCATTTCTCAGAAACAAAAACGCCAAAATAGACATACATACAGCAGACATTGATAAGATTGTTTTTAAAAGTCAGCCAATTTGAAATACAGTCCTGTCAATGGAGAATATGAACTAATTTTAAAATATGGACTAATTGAAGAAATGCCAGGAGATCTGATATCTAAAATAACAAGAGAAATACATGGACAATAAAACCATTATGGATTAAATTTTCATGAATATTAATGATTCATTACATTCCTGACATTTTGTTATTATCAGCCATTGTAATTTCTATTAAAGGAGAACTCAAGCCACTGCAGAATTTGTTTTGTTTTATTCATTATCTAGTATAGAAATAATTTAAACCAGGAGAAAACAAGTCATTGTAGATTATTCATTATCTAGTATAGGTATAAACCATAGTCGTGTTCAATTCCTGAATTGTCTGAGAAAGTTCACCGGGATTTACCAACATGGGTTCCGCCTTGTCAGTGGTGCAGAACGGAGGGCCTGACAAGGACAACTGTCTAGTCATTCGGATGGGGCGAAAAACCAAGGTCCCATGTATACATTGGCGTGCACGTAGAAGATCGATATTAGAGTAGGCCACTGTGCCACTGCCCGGGCAAAATTTCCCTTATAGCACACTATATGGCATATGTCTGTCTTCATTAGCCTAGTCGGAGCAGAACAGTAGGACGTTAAACCCCATTTCATTTTATTTTTAAACCATAGTCAGGAAGCCACAATGACTCAGTAAGTAAGGCATTGGCTCACTAACCAGGAGGTCTTGTGTTTATCTTGGGTGTTAGTTGATAAATATACCTCAGGATTCTCCAGTATGGCTTCCCTTTGTCAGTGATGCAGGACAGAGGACCTGACAAGGAACAATGTCTAGTCATTTGGATAGTACAAAAAAAAAGAGCCTCCATGTATACTTTGGCACACACGTAAGCCAGTTTTCATTAACCCGGTGCATGGTTGAAAGTATTTTGTTACTAGATAAAGAACAGAATAAAAAGAATCTGCAAGGACTGGACTTCTCCTTGAACATAATGGTCAATTTATACAACAACCATACTGTACTTCTGGTAGCCATGATAAATAATACATAATATCTGGAGTTCTCCTTTAACATAATGGTCAATTTACATGACAACCATATTGTATTACTGGCCACTATGAACATGATATCTGGACTAGTAATTTATCAATGAAGGTGATCTGTTCAATATGACAAGTAATTAGCCTAATCAATAAAAATATAATCCTTGATAATAAAAAATCTGTCAGGTCTTCAGATCAATATAGATAATAACAATAATGTCATGGCTTCACAATAGGTTGGCCTAGTCGTGGTTTCACACTCAGTAGCTCTAGTTTATAGATCAATATATATAAATGTCATGGCTGGGCTTCATGTTTAGTAGTAGGCCTATCATGCTTTTATGTTTAGTAGGCCTAGTATTAAGATCAATACAGAAAATAGGCCTAGTCATGGCTTCACGTTCAGTAGGATGCAATATAGCCCGGTTGGAGCGGACATGCGATTAAACAATGTTTCATTCATTCATTACTTTCAGTAGGCCTCGTCATGGCTTCATGATTAGTAGTAGGCCTAGTTATGGCTTCACCTTCAGCAGGCCTAATCTTCAGATCAAGATGAATATGAATGATAATAATAATAATGACCTTATTTTCAAAGCAAAGATAATTAGACCAGAAGGCCAGGAGCCATGTCTCCGTTTTACCCTTCTCCATTAACAATAAACAGCAGCTAAAACAATAACATTAAAGAGAACCTCATATAGCTAGAGACATATGCTTGTTAAACATACATTATGCAAGATTTTTCTTTAGGCCTTAAATGTTATCTAAATTATTAATTAGACATAAATTAACTTATCCAGACCATAATCAACTCTTGATGTCATCGCTAGCCTGCAATGTTTATTGGATTAGGTTCCGATTTCCTGTTCGACTTCCATTCATAATTTAATCATTAAATGGATAATCGAGACTGTTTTTTATCATACCGACTTTAGTAATGATGATCGAGGCTAGGCCGAAAATTTAATCGCTAAAATCTCTGTTCAGAGTGGATCAATTTGACTGAAATTTTCAGAAAATTCCCTCTAGTTTTTATATTTGTGAGAACTGCCAGCTTTTTATCTAATCTCCTATTATGTATCTTTAATACACCAGACTCTATGGAATACTTTCATACATTCTGATATATCTAATATACTACATATATATAACGATGAATAATATACACATATAATAATATGCATTAGTGCTCATGCATTACCTTTATTTCAAATCCATTATAATACAGGCTTAATCTGATTAATAATTTAACACTGTTTCTACATCAGTGCTCTATCCAACCTACATGGACATTAGTGATGGGATTTATGCAGATGAATTCATACCACAATTAAAAATCAGATATTCAAATCCTGTATACAATAAAGAAAGCTGAACCTCGCTATTTTTCGTATTTAATCCCTATACGGTATTCAAATTTATGTCAGTAACATTCCTACAAAAATAAGAATAGTTTGTGATGTCAGAACATTGTTTTCTTCTTTATAAAATGTCAACAAAAAATAGGAGCAACTATATTAATATTTGAATATTAAAGAGCAGCGTTCCCATTACAGCTTGAGAATAAACTGATAAATAAATGAAGAACCATGAAATGCCATGCTTGTCATAAATCGTTTAGTCACATAGACATCTGACAAAATAAAAACACAAAAATAAAGCCTCACTCCCATATCAAATTTTTTAAAGGATTGTCCTAGAACCAGAATCTTGTGAACATTCTAGCAACAAAATATATCATTCAATTTAATCTTTAAGTGGCATTTAGTGATTGGGGTACACAATAACACACAATACTTGTCGAAACGTTGTGCTATTAGAATAAAACCAGTGATTGTTTCCCATAAAAATTGTGTTCTGTTATCATTCAATTTGCTTGAAATTTATTTACATATTCAGATAAGCAAAATGAAGAGTTTATTTTCATTATTTCCAGATTTGCTCTCCTCTTAGAATCTTCTTAACCCTCTAAGAACAAGAGATATCATTCAATCTGCTTGAAATGTATATGTACTGTATATTGTTGAGATAAGGGAAATGAAGAAGTTGACAGTATTTCAACAGTTTTTATAGGCCCATATCCTCATGTCTTTATATTCTAAAAATCTCAATCATATGTGGATTGTTGGTTAGGGTAAGGGTTAGGACCTGCAGATTTTGTCAAAGCCTCGAAATGTAAACTGGGCTAGTCCTAACCCTAACCCTATTTTTTAACCCTGGACCAAGCCTAACCCTTACCCTAACCCTACACACAATCCACATATGACGTCATATGTGCAGGACTGTCTCCGATCTGTCGTTCCCCCTCAGATGATGATCCACAGTTTTACATAATTTAATTTTAAGAAGAAATTTTGTACCAAAAGGTATATTCACAAATATTGCTTTGCTCGTCAAAAATATAATATTTATAACATTTCATTAATCTTTTTTCAGGTGATTGTTGGTTATTGGCTGCTGTGGCCTCCCTGACGTGTAGCGAGGCTCTCTTCGCTAAAGTAGTTCCAATGGATCAGGATTTTACGACTGATTATTGCGGTATATTTAAATTTAACTTCTGGCATCAAGGTGAATGGGTTGAAGTTGTGGTGGATGATCGTCTTCCTACGTACAATGGACAACTAGTATTCATGCACTCCACAGAGAAAAATGAATTCTGGAGTGCTCTTTTGGAAAAGGCTTATGCCAAGTAAGTTAATGTCTGCTAAAGTTTTAGTATATTGTTTGTGCGTGGGGGGGGGGGGGGGTGGTACAGTTTAATGGCATCAGGGAGTTATGGTGCCTCCGTTGGCATACTAACAGAACTTTCTGAACAATTTTCAAGTTTGACGCTGGACAGATTGTTTGGCAAGGGAAATTGTCTAATTGTTTGAATGTTAAGAAAAAAATAAGGTTCTGTGTATGCCATTGGTAGCATGTTAAGGAGCTACTGACGATTGGAAATTAAAATAAGAGTCAGCCATGTTCTCAATTGTCCAAGGTGTGCTGGCTGGGCTGTCGTGGAAAGTGTTTTTCAGATGTCAAGAAATGGGGTTTATCATTCTACTTTTCTGCACCTACTGAGCTAATGAAATGAGATTAAATGTCCAACTGTTCTGCTGTAACTGGGATAATGAAGATGGGCTTATGCCATGCAGTATGCTATGAGGGAAATTATATCAAATTCCATCTGTCAAGGGTTCTTTTACGTGCATGCCCATTTGTACACTGGAGCTCAGTTTTTCATGCCATCCAAAGACTAGGTAGCTGTAGTAGTCAGGCCCCCAGTCCTGCACCACTGACAAGGTTAAAGGAAAGCATGTCAGAAAATACAGAGAGCCACCGCAGCTCCCTGTTCCGATGGGAGAGACTTCTGAGATCCTATTAATTGGCACATAAAAGAACCCTCTGCAGTTGGAATTCGATTAAGAGTAGGTTTAAACCTAACAAAACTCAACCCATTGCATTGCACATGTTGCCATGGTAATGATATTAACTGCATGTTAGTCTCAAAATGACCTAAACATTGTGTTGAACAGACTTGAAACCCCATTGCTTACCTGATACCTTTAATAAATCGGATTGTTATATTTGTCAGGTTGAATGGATCATATGAATCTTTGAAAGGAGGAAGTACCTCGGAAGCTATGGAGGATTTTACTGGAGGTGTTACAGAAATGTTTGACCTACGTAAAGCTCCAGCAGACCTTCAGAAGATTATGTTAAAAGCTGTTGATATGAACTCTCTTATGGGTTGTTCTATTGATGTAAGTATTCTTATCTTATATTCAATTCCTCATCAAGTACGGCTCGCACAGGTCACGAATTGCTACATGGTTAATGTCACGTATAACCGGGGAATCGATACCATGCCAGTTGACTCAATAACAGACCATATGATAATACAACCCACACACGCTTTGGCCATCCAACCCTCCCCTTATCAGTAGATTCCAGATTTTATCGTGGTGTGTGTGGGGGGGGGGGGGTTATCGAATGGTTAACATGTGCATGTTTGATCATAAGGTCTATCATTTATTCAAGAGGGATGGTTTCGATTCCCCGTTTGTACATGACCAGGAGTAGGATCGTCTGTCCAGTCTCGTGGGTTTTCTCTAGGTCCTCTGATTTATTCCCACTGCTAAAGATGCCTACACACTAGCAAATTATTAAAATAAAATTGAAAGATATGTTAGTCCCGAAATGACCTAGTTTGCATTAATTGGGTATTGAACCCTGTTTCTCTTTCTCACCTGTGTACAAGTAGAACAGTAGTACATTAAACCCCATTTCATTTCATTTGTAATAAAGACTATTTAATAAAAATATGTTACAGGCTGATCCCAACCAGTTAGAAGCTGAATTAGAGAATGGATTGATTATGGGACATGCCTACAGTGTTACAGCTGTTAAATTGGTAAGATTTCTTGTATTCTTGTATTCTTATTATATTTCAATCACATTCCTAGAGATAACTTTACCCTTCATTTATCTCTGGTAAAACTCACTGGCCATTAATCAGTGTGAAACTGGTTCCTAAGCTCCGCCCCCAGTGGCTACTGATTGGCAAGATTTGTAAGAATGAAATGCTGCTGATTTCTCTCAATTAGGTATCGAATTGTTGCATGAGTTACATATTAATGATCTTTGGAACATTTGCCACATCTTGACATCAAAATTTAATTCGAAAACAGCCGATTTGATGATTTACCACAAACTATTTTTAGCGGGCAATGTGAGTGATTTGGTTAAATATGTGAATTATTAGTATGTCCAAGAGAAACGCGAGTTTGAGCTGCCATCTTAGATCTTTGTGAAGTGACCAACGAAGGATACAATGTACATCACGTGACATTCAAAATCGCCGGGGAGTTTTCCAGAGTAGGACAATGGCTCACTATCCTGGGGGTCCCATGTTCAATCCCGGTGCTGGCCGAGAAAGTTCATCAGGATTTACCAGAGTTGTTCCCCCTTGTCCGTGGTACAGGACATATGGCCTGACAAGGGACAATGTAGAGTTATTCCCCTGTACACATTGGTGTGCATGTCAAAGAACTGTTGACCATTGGAATTCGAAATGAGTAGGCTGTAATGACGCTGTCGAGCAAGGTATCCCCCATAGCACACAGTATTGCATATGCCCTTCTTCATTTGCCCAGTTGGAACAGAACAGTAGGTGAAATGAAATGAAATGAAATGAAATGGAGTTTAACGTCCTACTGTTCTGCTCCTAACCTGGGCTAATGAAGACGGGCATACGCCATACAGTGTGCTATGAGGGAAATTTTGCCCGGACAGCGGCACTACGGCCTACTCTTATATCGAATTCCAACTGCCAAGGGATCTTTTACGTGCACGCCAATGTGTACACGGGACCTCGGTTTTTCGTCCCATCCGAACGACTAGACAGCTTTCCTTGTCAGCCTCTCCGTCCTGCATCACTGACAAGGGAGAACCACGGCGGAAAATCTGGATGAACTTTCTCGGCCAATGCAGGGATCGAACACCCGACCTCCAGGCTAGCGAGCCAGCGTCTTACCCTCTTAGCCACGTGATCCCCAGAACAGTAGGTAGTTAAAGATGAATTATGATGGATTCGATAAAGAGCTCGCAGTTGTCAATATAATAGTTAATAACTAGATAATGTAAAAGGAATATGCTGAAAATTTCAATCAAATTACTTCACTCTGAGCTGAGAAAAACTCATTTTAAAAACACTGTAGCCTCAATTGTCATTTTTACCTCTGTTACGATAATAAACAATGTAGCGATTATCCATTTCCACGGTTAATCCTCAGTGGGCGTTGAACAGCAGATCGGATTCAAATTTAATGAAAATCAGAGACATCTGATGACATCAAGAGTTGATTATGGTCTTGGCATGTTAATAAATGTCTAATTAATAGTTTATAAACATTTAAGGCCTAAGAAAGACCTGCAATAGGCAGATTTAGCTCTGGCATAATGCATGTATAAACCCTAAATCATTTCATCATCTTTTAATTAACAGGTTGACATAACAACATCGAGAGTATCAGGTGAAATCTGTATGGTGAGAGTACGTAACCCATGGGGTAATGAAGCAGAATGGAAGGGGGCTTGGAGTGATCAGTAAGTTTGTCGTCATCACACACAGTACAACTTAATAGTACATTTAAAACATATTTTGCTTGATAAGACAAGAGAAACCTTGTCAAATCATCAGCAGAAGTAAACCCCTAAAGTAACTTGTATTCCATATTATTCCTATTCGGGGGGGTGGGGGGGCGGACCGATTGGTTAACTTGTATTGCATTCCGTATTATTATGTTGTGTTATTCTCATTCAGGGGGTTGGGTGGTCTAATGGTTAACTTGTATTCCATATTATTATGTTCTGTGTTATTCTCATTCACGGGGGAGGGGGGGTGGACCGAATGGTTAATTTGTATTCCACATTATTATGTTATGTCTTATTCTCATTCCGGGAGTGGGGGGTGACCGAATGGTTAACGAGTGCGTATTTGATCACAAGGTCTGTCATTGAGTCAAGCACCTGTTTTATGGAATAATCTACCATTTAGTGTACATATCTATATTCTTTTAAAAAACAACTTGAAACACATTTATTTAATCAGGATTTTAACTGACTCTGTATACAATCATTAACATGTCCATAATCTTGTTTATTTATGATTACATTATCACTTTGTAAAGTGCCCCTGATCATGTTATATGAAAGGGCGCACCATAAATATGCTGTAATAATAATAATAATAATAATACACTGTTGTGTTATAGGTCTGATGAATGGAATCTCATTTCTGAGGAAGAGAAACAAGAAATTGGTCTAACGTTTGATGATGATGGAGAATTCTGGTAAGATCTTTTTTTTTTGACTTAAGGAACAATATTTGCGTCAGCCATTATTACACATGTGATAGAACTGGATAAGCACATTCTAAACAGATTTTAATTAAAGAAACACTTTTACAATGGAGGTTAGCGTAGATCCCAGTGATACTGTATGGGAGAGAAGGAAGCAACCAGATTTTCAAAGATTCATTATGGAAGATTAGATAAAGACCTGGCAGTTATCACTATAATAGTTAAAAACTAGATAATGTAAAAGGAATTTGCTGAAAATTTCAGTCAAATTGATCCACTCTGAACTGAGAATTTAGCGATTAAATTTTCAGCCTATCCTTGATCATCTTTACTTCCCTTTGTACAATAAAAAACATAGTCTCGATTATCCATTTCATGGTTAAATCATGAATAAATATTGAGCAACAAATCGGATGCTAATCCAGTAAATATCGCAGGCTAGCGATGATAACAAGAGTTAATTATGATCTGGATAAGTTAATTAATGTCTAATTGATAATTTAGATAACATTTCAGGCCTAGAGAAAGACCAGCAAGGCAGATTTAGCTCTTGCATAATGTATGTTTAAATAGTACATATGTTAGTCCCAAAATGACTTTGCTGTGTTAAGGGGATATTTAATTTTGTTTTCTCTCTATGTAAATTTCAGGATGTCATTTAGAGATTTCATCAGTAATTTTGAGAAACTAGAGATTTGTAACCTTGGACCTGATTCCATGCATGGTGAACCTGGTGAAGGACAAAAGAAATGTTTCAGTGCCATATCAGAACACGGTGGCTGGACGAGACGTGTCAATGCTGGTGGTTGTAGAAATTATTTAGGTTTGTCTTATATTCTCACAAAAGGAACTTTGGTGGCTTTTTCGCCATTTAAATAAACGTAATGTTGGTACAAATAGTTTGAGACTGCTACTTTGTCTAGCCATTTTGCCGCTGGCTTTAAACCATTTATTTTAACAGAATAGCTGTATGACGAAAATGACAGTTAATAATAGTTTGAGACCACTGCTTCCTTTAGCCATCTTGCCGTCTCACACGCTTTCTCTCTTATGTACATCATCCATTCCTATTATTGAACTAAATTACCATAATAAACAGAGTAACTGAACATTATGCGTTAATTATGATTTAAAAAAAACAACTAAAGTAGGTAACAGTTTTCTGCAGACTTTCAGTCTATAAGTCTAGTTTTCCAGGTAAACAGAAATATATTTTCAGTTATAAAAAAAGTTTTTTCAGGTTGGGTAAGAAATCCTAATTAATCACAAAGACAGGGTCGGATTTAGCTACTTCTGGGCCTTAAGCCTAGCTCACAACTCAACGAAATGTTTTGACACACACAGGTCGTAGGGTTTTGTAGCTCGTAGACCAGCAGCAAGAAACCAGGTGAAAATTTTGTATGTGCATCACCAAAAGTCTCTACGGCCAGTGTGCGATCTTCAACGGGGCCGAACATACACAAGTGACGCATAAGTCTCAGGCACGAGATTACTCAAATTTTCCCCAAAGACTACCCATAGTAGCATGTACGGCAGATTGTGAGCTAGGCACTCTGCACGACAAATTAGTTTCAGTGGGCCCCAGTTCCCCTTGAGCCCTGGGCCAATTTCCTACTATACCTATTGGTAAATCCAACTCTGCACAATGGAATATAATTTTTAACAATCGGCTATTTTATTTCAGATACGTTTTGGACAAATCCCCAATATCGTGTGACATTGACGGATGCGGATGATGATGATGAAGATAATAACTGTACAATGATCGTAGCCTTATTACAGAAAGACAGACGAAAGAAACGAAAAGAAGGATTGGATTTATTGACGATTGGTTACGTTATTTATAATGTAAGAAAAATTTTCTTTAAAGTTTTGTTGGGGGGTGTAAAGGGGGTGGTGGGATAATAATAATAATAATAATAATGATATTTGTATCGCGCAACTATTCAATCCACTAGGGAATGCACTAGGTGCTAGAAAATTTTTCTTACTTTGGAGTGTTAATGATAGTGACTAAATAACCAAGTTTTGTTCGGGGGGGCGGATGGCTGAATGGTTAGCGTGCGCGCGCTGTACCATAAAGTCTGTCATTGAGTTGACTGGCGTGGTTTCGAATCCCCGGTTGTACGTGACAAGGAGTAGGGTCGCCTGTCCAACCTCGTGGGTTTTCTCCGGGTCCTCCGGTTTCCTCCCACTGCTAAAGACCCCTACACGCAAGCGAATTATTGAAATAAATTTAAACCATATGTTAGTCCCGAAATGACCTAGTTTGTGTCGAGTGGACGTTAAACCCCATTTCTCTCTCTCTCTCTCTCTCTCTCTCTCTCCAAGTTTTGTCCAGAGGGTAGCTCTACAACCTACTTTTATTTCAATTTCAAACTGTCAGTAAACGATACCGGGGTAGAAAAGCAACTGTGCTGACAAAATGTCTCGTTTAATTTGATAGGAAATGACTCCTATACATTTGTATACGCCCACATTGAAATGTGGTCATATATTGTCGTCACCCCCGTCTGTCCGTCCTGACGCTCTAGAGGCTGAAGTTAATATCCAATTGACTTTAAATTTATACACAGTGTTCAAGGTCATGAGACGAAGAAGCCTATTAATTATCACCGACTTTGGATAATTACTGCTAGAGTTATGACTCTTGATCACTTTGAAAAATCTTGGGGATGCTTTAGAGACCATAGTTATCATCTGATTGATTTTATATTTATACACCGTGTTTATGCCTATATATAATAGTTTCGATTGACTTCAGATTGATACACAGAGTTTAAGGTCTTGAGACGAATAAGTATATTGATTTTCAATGATTTTTGATAACTTGAACAGCTAAATCCATGATATTAGGTGTTTTGTATAATAAACGTTAGCATGGGCCAAAGAAATTCAAATGATTTTCTGATAATTATTTTATGAGTTGTTACTCTTAATCAGATTTTAGTGTATTATAAATGGTTCATTACCAACAAAAGTAAAAACTTGTGACAACTCTATTTGACTGCCCGGACGATTTAGCTGCTGTGGGTGTATGTTTTGTTGCCTGGCAACCTATCTTTACACTTCATAGAATTTTGGAATTAAAATATTTTAGGTTAGGGGAGAAATAAATGGGATTTAACATCATAATCTTTAAGCAGAAACACATTAACGGAACAGAATTTTTATGGGAAACAATCAATGTTATATTTAAACTTTTTTCAGTTGAAAGAAGGTGAAAGTCAAGGTCCTTTAGATGTCAACTTCTTCAAATATAACGCATCATGTGCTAAATCTCCTTCTTTTATTAATCTACGAGAAATGTGTGGTCGTCATCGGTTACCTCCAGGAACATATGCAATTGTTCCATCCACATTTGAGCCTTCAGAAGAAGGAAACTTCTTGTTACGTATATTCACAGAAAAGGACTTTCAAGGAGGGTAAGTATTTAATGCTGTTTTTTGTCAGGATTGCAATATTATAAATATTGGTGTAATACTGACCTGACCCAGAGTGGCATAATATCATGTAGATCAGTGATCCTGAACCTGTGTGCTGCGAGATCTTCCTAAGTGTGCTGCAGAATTTTGAACGGCACACTAAGAAAATGCAAAAAAAAAACATGATCCCAATTGAGTATTCACTTGTGTCTACTGATAAGTTCATAGCTGTGTTTTTCTTTATTTAGTTCGAGTCATACTATGTATCTATGACTAGTCTCTGTCTACAGTTGTATGCCGTCTGACTTGCCATGTTTTTTAAAATTCAAATATTTTCATATGTATTTAGCCAGGTGTGCCGCTAAGTTTTCATGTGCTCCAAGGTGTGCCGTTGAGAACCACTGATGTAGATTAAGGAAATACCTGGTCCTAGGTCAAATATTAAGTATGACTCACATATAAAGCCAATGTTAAGATATTGTCATTTGTACCTTCTTGTGTTAACAAAGTTAACCAAAAATGTAACTAAAATTTATAAACCACCCCTCTGCTTAAACGTGCATTATGCAAGAGCTAAATCTGCCTATGGCAGGTCTTTCTTTTACGCCTGAAATGTTATCTAAATTATTAATTAGACTTTAATTAACTTATCAAGACCATAACATCTGAATCGCACGCCAAGAACTTGCCATGACCGTCGTTTCATTGGCTAATTCCTCACATTAACCAGAAAGCGGCTTATATAATAACTCTTCCAGATCCTAGTGTTGTGAAGACAAGTAAAATGAAATTTTGAACTATAAAAAACGAAACCCAATAAGATCTGTGTTTTAATCAGATTGATCATCAGTATGTTTTGACAAAAATTAAAGACTTTAGCTCTTAAAATCTTTTATGTTTTTGTTTTCCAGAGAAATTGATGAACAGACCTCATACAATGATGAACAGGTAAGGATCAATATTTCAATTTTTATGCTTACCATAATATTTCAATATGAATATTTATCAAATACTATTTTACACTGGAAAACGGGTTTAATATATTAAATAAATACTATTTTACTCTGGAAAACGGGTTTAATATATTAAATAAATACTATTTTATACTGGAAAACGGGTTTAATATATTGAATAAATACTATTTTATACTGGAAAGAGGTTTTAATATATTAAATAAATATTTTTTTATTTTTGGAAGAGGTTTGAATATATTAAGTAAATACTTTTTCATTGTGGAAAGATGGTTAAATATATCAAATATATCAAATTTTATAATGGAAAGAGGGTTTAATATATTAATTAAATACTGTTTTATACTGGAAATAGAATAGCGTGATATATTAAATACTGTTTTATACTGGAAAGAGTGTGATATATTAAATACTGTTTTATACTGGAAAGATGTTTTAATATATTAATTAACATTGTATAACGGAAAGAGGATTTAATATATTAAATGAATATTATTTTATTCTAGAAAGAGGTTTAATGAATTAAATAAATACTATTATGAGTGGGACAGAAGTTTTCTAAATTTGGGAATAACTTAAAGAGATAAAAAAAGGGTTTATTGTCATGAGTGTTTATCTAGGAATCTTAGAGCCAGTTACTGTGTTGACGACTGATAATGGGGTTCTCAATATAGGGTTCTTAGACATCGGAATATGGATTGTTTGCATACACCATATGAATTAATTCTATCATTAAGATAATTAATGTTATTATTATAACATAATCAAGATAATTGATTTATATTCTATTATTTAGAATGTTATTGGAATGAGTGAGATATATCTTACATATACAGCTTCTATAGACAGCTTTCTTAGGCTGATATGATATTATATCTTATGTGTGTGAGATGAAGAATGGCTTATAAAATATAGAATGATTTAATTTCAGCCTTCAACTTCTCGCATCTTCATAATGTCGAGATCTGATACCTTGACTACCTTGACTACATTAGGTGACTTTTTCATGTGTTCATATGTAAGCGAGCTTGTTACAAATCTTTTTATTTGTGCAACAGTGGCCATTGATCTACCCCTTTGATTCTCAGATAATTCTGATATATCTTTAATCTTTCAAAAAGAATTAGACGGCTAATGTTGTCAAGGTACCAGTCATATATGGTTGATATTATGGAGATGCTATCTGTATGATTTCTAGGTGATAATTTGATGACCTGTTTATAACTACAATCTTATTACTATGATTTGACCCTTTGACCTTCTGGTATATAAATCAATATAGATCAATTAACTAATATATAAATATGCAATAAATATTAACAGCATTATTATTATTATATTGGTCAAATGATTCTCTTCTCTTCAACACTAAATTTATTTCCTGTGCCCTTTGTAAACTCGTTAACTCACTTTTCTACATATGTATATATACTCTCTAGATCTAATATAATTTATTTTCTTCAGATATTCCCTTTTCCTGTGAAATATGTTTATGTCTGTTTATATAGCATGTTGGTCTTTACCATCACTTAATCAAAATATTCTAAATTAGTCCTTACAATTTAACTTATTTTGTATAGATAAAAAGATATAATAGTGCTAAAAAGTATGAAAATGCCTTTAAAATGAGGTCTACATGTGTACACATTGGCGTGTACGTAAAAGAACCCTTGACAATGAAGATTAGTAGGAGATGTCACAGTCTAGGCAAAATTCATCTCCCTGACATTGCACACTTGATCATAGGTAAAAAAAAGAACCATATGTTAGTCTCAAAATGATCAAAATATTGGGTGGAAGAGACGTTTAAAGTTCATCTCCTTAGCATTGCACACTTCACCGTCTTAAAATGATCGAATTAATGGGTTGTAGTGACAATTAAAATCCATCTCCCTGACATTACACACTTGATCATAGGTAAAAAAAGAACCACATGTTAGTCTCAAAATAATAGGTGGAAGAGGTTTAAAATTCATCTCCTTAGCTTGCACACTTGACCATAGGAAAAAATAGAACCATGTGTTAATCTCAAAATGATCAAAATATCAGGTTGACGAGACGTTAAATTAACTCCATTCCATTCAATAACATATATATTGACCATGCCATCTATTTGATAATAGCGTAGAAGAAGAGAAGCCGAACCCATTCCAGAACCAGTACAGCCATTACCCGTAGTAAGTCCACAAAAACGGGTGAATTTTGCTGCATGACACTGTGTGAAAAACAAAAAAACATTGAGAGAATGCTATCGATATGTATATAGATCTTTTAAATGAGAACGAACGAGTGCTCCTTTCACCATGATGTGTTTTGACTTTGTGGTGATCTTTTCTGTTTCACGTTTGTTTTTCCTTTACATACGTTGTATTTCATCGGTCATTTTCCTCTGTCATTTCTGCATTGACAAAGTACCTATCACAGCACACCTTTCATCACAAAGTATTGTATTTTCAACATGTCTGATTTTGTATTCTGTATTTGAGTCTCTATCGAGCTTTCATGACGTAAAAAATCAAAAATTCTCATCATTCTGTATTGTCTTGCACTTATTGCTGCACTCACCTTTGAGTTTCACTTAGACATTTTATCACATTTTGTTTTAATTTTTAACGTTTTAATTTTAATTTTATATTCTTTTAATATATTTTAATTTTGTTTAAAAATGTTCATTATATCCTCATAGTTTTGTTTCTATCAGAAATCATATTTTGTTTCAATTTTAAATAAATATAGAAATTTCTGTTTTATTTTCTTTCAAACTTTATTTTTAATTTATGATTTGTTTTTAATTTTATTTAAGAAATTATTTCTAAACATATTCTGTTCTATTTTCCTTTCCATACAAATTTCCTATCCTTTTTCCTTTTAAGTTTTTCATTGATTCTTTTTTATAAAACAATTCGATTGTCATCAGCTAGAAAGGTTAGGTAGTATTCTCTCAAAAGAAGATTCTTTGATGCTTTTGTTTAAATCCTATAACAAAATGCAAAAAACTGAACTTTCATGCTTCAAATTTGAATATGAACTGTTTTTTCCAGTTGATGAAAAATCAGGCTAATAAAATTATGTTTTGTTCACCAAAGAAGGTAGTATTCTCTCAAAAAGGATGCCTTTGTTTAATTGCCATAACAAAACGTAAAATACTGAACTGCATTGCTCCAAATTTGAATATGAATTGTTATTTTTTTTGCCAACATTTATACATCATCCATTTTAATGTACGTACGTACATCAGACAGTCATTCACAATTATGTGCGGCTATTGACATGAGCTTAGCAAGTCGATTGATTTTCACTGAAATATTTGCCGAGTTATGGCCCTTGATCACTTTGAAAAATCTTGTCATCGTCTGAGAGAAGAATCCTGTTTTCGTTGATAATTACTTGCAGAGTTATGGTCCTTGATCACTTTGAAATATCTTGTGGACGATATAATGGATAACATCATCATCAAATTGACTTTGAAATTTATATTCAGTTTTTGTGGATGTGGTCGTTTTTGTGGATTGCTTACAAGAATCAGCTGCTTCGGGTTTATGTTTCGTTGCCTGGCAACTGATCTCTTTCCAGTTGACGAACTATCAAACTAATAAATTTTACGGCATTTGACAAAAATAACCATAACTCAAAATTGCTGTAAATAAGAACTGGATCAAACAGCAAAAGTTAAAATCTGAATGAATAACTTGTTTTTATCTCTTATTCTTTTATTAAAAGTCATTTTTGGTTACCTGTCTCTATTCTAGGAATGAAATATTTTACGTTGAAGACTCATAATCAGACACCCCTTAATTCTCTTTTACTGTTTCCGTTATCTTAAAAAAAATATTACCCTTTCTTCATTCCTCGTTTGAAAATGACCCACTTGTTAAATTAATCCCAAATGTTTCATGACGTTTTTCATTTCTTGTTTGAAAATGACCCAATTTTTTTGCAGTGATTTCTAATAACACTACAGTTACCAGTCATTCTAAAATGTCTATCCAACTAAATGTTGTACAAATAGTCTTTAAATATCTTAATTTATTATCTGTATTCAGAATTATTCAATATCTGTATTTAGTGTCTTAACAAAACTCTTCACCCCAAATGTAGCTGTTTTATATAGAATACATATATCTCTTGTTTTCCTTAATACAACTTGATTTTCTTTCGTTCGATGTTGTATATCTCTCTCGCTCCCTATTAATGTCATTTCCTCGTTCAAAAATAAGTTTTAAATGTCAGCTTACTAACACAACAATATTTAAAAAGAGTAGAAATAAAATATTAGAATTTTTTCTTTCCCTGAAATAGCCTGGCAGAGGAGGCAGAGTAAGTTGCGATGTCAACAACTGGAATGATTGTTTGAGTTTTGAAGTTTGAATTTTGTGGGTTTTTAAGATTGAATGAATGAGGTTTAGAAGTTTGTAATGCTGTGTAATAATTGAGCCTGGACAACTTTAGAATTAACTGTTAAATGTATAGGCGTACAGGCTGGATGACTGTTAGGGGGGGGGGGGGTAACCTTGAAATGCCTAAAAAAATTCGGGTTAGCCAACTAGATGAAATAATTTTTTTTCACTTGACCCGTCTGCCCGAAAAGTCAGATTGCCCGTACGCCAATGGTTAAACAATTACTTTAAGAAAAATTGACATCCTTTTTAAAATGATTTTCCTTGACTAGAGAAAAGGAAAAAAAATGATTAAATTTTGTATGTGACAAATGGCACAGTTGATTCTAATTTTTGTTCAGCTAATCTTCAAAGTTTGTATTGATCCAAAAACTTCTGCAAAATTCTAGATTGGTGGAGTTGAATTTGCTCAAGCCAAAGATTGTTTTAGGGAAATGTTTTAGCAATCCTTTTATGTCAATAAATTAAGTAATTATTTATGTAGAATCTGGATGAATGCAAACTTGTGTCTTGAAACATAAAATTAAACATTTTTTTTCAGAATTGTGATGTCTTCCCTTTTTTCCAAATTAATAAGGTTTTTTTTTTCAGCTGCATTTATATGAATATTGATTGTTTATGTTTTTAACTGTTGTAATAACCTTAATATAACTATCCATCATTCATCCATTCTATATTTGTATCAATATATGGCCAGCGTTAGCTATAGTTATTAAGGATATGCTTAAGTCTCTTACCACTGTCATCAAACAGTCCTACGTCTTCAATAGAAGGCTTGATCTCACTTTAATTACATACATCTTATCAAGGCCTTCACGTAATACCCTGCATATTTCAGCACTAATTTCGATTGGGTACAGGCCCAGCTTGTGACCCTATCAGATTCCTCGATAGTTGTGAATACCAAGTCTCGGGCTTTCAAGCTAAAATGTCTACCTATAAGGTTCGTATAATGTCATGGTTTCCTCGGAGATCGCTATGTCACAACAACATCTGATTGGACGCTACTGTTCACGTTTCTGTAGATAACGTAGCTATAAGTTCGGGAATTGTGAAGTAATCTAGCTACGTCCAGATGTTGTAAAACTTGCAGTCGTTGCTTCAGGAACATGACAGTTCTATGGAATCTAGGGGAGTTTTAGACTTTTTTTTTAAGAATCTGGGGTTCGTAGAAGACATGACTGGGTGGCCACATGATCTGATGAAATGACCTAATTTGTACAGTGTGGATGTTAATCCCTGAGTTTCGATTTCAAATTCTTGCACCATATAACATTTTTAGTTGGATTGATCAGAGGTCGGGATTGGGTTTTCAGAAGCCATTGTCATCTTCCAGAAATAGGGTCAAGCCTCATCTCTCTCATATCATAGATCATTGTCATTGTATTTCATCTTGCACTACAGTCACAGTCTGGAGGTCGGATGTTCGATCCCTGCATTGGCCGAGAAAGTTCATCCAGATGTTTCGGTGTGGTTCCCCCTTGTCAGTGATGCAGGACGGAGGGCCGGACAAGGACAGCTATCTAATCATTCGAATGGGACGAAAAACCGAGGTCCCGTGTACACATTGGCGTGCACCTAAAAGATACCTTGACAATTGGAATTCGATATAAGAGTAGGCCGTAGTGCCGCTGTCCGGGCAAAATTTCCCTCATAGCACACTGTATTGGGTATGCCCATATTCATTAGCCCAGTTCGGAGAAAAACAGTAGGACATTTAACCCCATTTCATTTCACTTCATTGTATAATGTCGTAAAACATTTCTCACGATTATATGCATGTTATTATTATTTACTGCATGCCTTAGTTTATTATATTGAATGCTTTCTGGTGTAATTAAACAGGGCGACAATGAATATGATGAGAATGGTGATTCTAACGAGGTTTTTGGTTTATGTTATTAGCTGCTGTTTTTTGTTAGGTTTTTTTTAGCACAAATCACTGAATGCTTCAATTTCCTTTTAGATTATCTTAGTTAAGACTTTAGATGAATTTCTTTTCCTTTGTTTTCTATGCACCATATTTTATTCACTTAGCGCATTTTCATTTATATATTTTGAAATGTTTAATGTTTAATTTCATTTAATTTTCAATTTTCACTATTCGTCACAATAAGTATAAATAATGTTCGTGGGGATTTTCTTTTTAGGATAAATTAAATATATTTGAGTTTTAAAATCATGTTAGAGAGGCGTTACTAATTGAAAACTAAAATAAAGACCAAATGATTCTATGTCGGACAAAAGCTGTTATTTTATCAAAGTTATACTTTGAAGGGGAAAAACTCTTGTCACAAGCAAACTGGTAGACCCAAAATGACCAGATTTGTTTTGAGTGGGTATTAAACCCCATCCCTTTCTTAGGCAGGTTTTCCATGTATGCATTGATACAGTGTTTCCGCATATGGTTTGGACGTTAAACAAGATGGTCTAATACATAAGTAACCGAGGAAGACGTGCGGAAACGCCACAAAACCTGCCTTAATTGAATTTCAGTAATTTTCTTCCATAGAATCGTTTATTTTATATCATATTGAAAAGATATATTAATTAGATATAAAACTGATAGTATTAATTCTATAAGATAGTTAAGTTTTAACTGTTTTTACTTTGCTTATCCTGTTGCTAATTATGATAAAACTTTGTCTTTAAAAAAAAAGAAGAAAGAAAATTATTGTAATGATATATGACAAAATTTATTCATAACATAAATACAAGTAAAGAAACAACAAGTTTTAAAATGATCTTTAGTAAAGATGTTCAAAAGTAGATTTAATTCTTTAAAAATAGTAAAATTAATCTTTTCTGATAATTGCAATAAAATAATTTCAGATAGATGTACTTTGATCCCCTGCAGCTTTTATAGCGGTGGCGTACAGAGGGGGGGGGGGGGTGATTGCCTTGGGCTTCCATTTCATGGGAGGGGGAGGGGGAGATCCAATCACAGATTGAAATTATTTTTTAAAATATTTTGAGATTTTAAATTATCGCTGTTGACTTTGAATTTAAAGTGTATTTCATCTGTACATATTTAAAATGTTTTCTTTTCTTACATTTCTGTGTATTAGGCCATATACTTGAGTCTTGGGGGGAATATTAGCAAGGAGATGGTCCCAGACATCATCCAACCTGTGCACGCCACTGTATTCAGCTTATATTATAGATATCATTATATAGGCTTTATATATATATCCTATATACCATATGCTTAATATAATCTGTATTTATAGCGCAATATTTATATCATAGAAAATAGACCACTATATCTGTATTCCTTGATAGGGAAGCTATGGTTATTAGAGAATGTTCTTGAAAAAAAAACTGTAATTCAAAACTTCATTATCTTTTAAATATCTTTTTAATCAAAATAGGAATATCTTTTAACATATATATACAAAATTTATAAGAAATATTCAATTTTAGAGAAAAAAAAAATTATGGGAGGGGGGGATGTATCTAAATTCTTCACAAAATAACCAAGTTATTGCATTGTGTAACTAATTCTCTATTACCAAGTTATTTTATTAACAGATAATTAATAAAAACTATGCTCTATATAGTTGTCTTCATACATCGATACGTGATGTAAATGTTATGTAAATGCTCTATAGTTGTCTTAATACATAGATACATAACATAAAAAATAGTCCATATAAATTGTATATAATGTTGTCTTCATACATAAATATTTAACATAATAAAATGTATATGTTGCCTTAATAAATAGATATTTAACATATATATATATTGTATATGGGACCGTATATGCACAGTATTATTATAAATTAAACTATATTTAGCATGAAATATCATTGCACCAGCTTAAAAATAGTCCATTATTAGTATCAGTAGTAGCACAATTCGATTAAAAACTATAATTTGATCAACTCCATGCAAAATTAAATTTTCGAGGGGACGGTGTTTTTAATTTTTTAAAATCGATAATAATTTATGTATGTGGTTCTTTCAGCCTGATGTCGCACCACCATCTGATGAAGAACAACAACAAGAGGAAGCCCTTAAAAATACGTTTAGACGTGTTGCCGGGGAAGATATGGAAATTGACGCTTATGAACTCAAGGATATTCTTAACTCTGTCTTCACTAGAGGTACGATTTTGAGATACCTTTTATTTTTGAACGGCTACAAAACATGATTTTTAGATACCTTTTTTTTTAACTACTACGAAACATGATAATTATAAAACTTGTCATAGAAATTAGAGAAAAGCTTTTTATTTTTGAATTTATTTAGATTACCAAATTTATAGACTGAAATATTTGCTTTAACATTTAAATTTGAACTTTTTTAGATCATAGATTTTTCGACTTTTGAAATTCGTTAGCTTTGATTTTTGCCTGTATTGTTACAAGAGCATCTTTCTTGAGACCCAATAACATATCAATACCATTTATTTTTTGAAAATCTATGAAATAGATTAGTAATTATTGTTTTAGATTAAATCGTTGTTAGTGGGAAACCCTTTTCGTTTCATTTCATTTTATATCGTTGTCTTTGAAATTGTTTAATGTGTCATTTGAAGTGAAGCATGTTTTCAACTGTTTATTCTTAATGATTCTAACATCGCTAGAGACTTGATTGACTTTGGCATGCATGAAAAACAAAACTTACTTTTTTAATACTGAACGAATCCAAGTACGACTAATATTTCGGTTTGCCCTACTTCAGCATTGTGCTTGAAAAAGATCTGGAAACACTTAAATTTGACTCTGATTTACTAATGTGCATTGTTCTAATTTCTAATCTATACATATTCACATATTTTCACTGAAAGTATATGCCCTAGCTTTAGCCTGGGCTTGGACAACTGGCTTTAGCCTGGGTTTGGAGCACCTGGCTTTAGCTTAGATTGTAGCATCTGGCTTTCACCAGGGTTGGAGTGTCCATCATTAGCCTGGATTTGAGTATCCATCTTTAGCCGCCTGGGTTGGAGCATCTGGCTTTCACCTGGGTTTGAGCATCCAGCTTTAGCCTGCGTTGGAGCTTAAGCCAGGGTAGGAGCATTCAGATTTAGCCTGGGTTGGAGCATCCAAATCTACCAAAGGTTGGAGCATCCAGCTTTAGCCTGCTTTGGAACATATAGCTTTAGCTCAGGGAGGGGCATTCAGGTTTAGCCTGGGTTGGAGCATCTCTCTTTGACTATACCCAGGACTGGAGCATTAAATATTGCCAAACATGGTGGTCTGGGAACTGTAAGCACCTAACAAAATGTTTGTTTTTTTAGAATTTACTCCATTGACCTTATCCACTATATATTTAAGTCTTTGTTACCAGGTATTCTTAGTGAATATATCCTTCATTTTGCAGAAGAAAGTTTTGGCCCCGATTTTTCTAGAATTTTCGCATTGACAGTATTAATAATAACATGTATTCGTACCCAATCGTAGAATACATATTTGTTATTAATGTTATAACTTGATGTTTGATGTGAATAGCTTCCCTTTAATTACATATTACGGTAATTGACAGAAAGCACGTTTTTATAATTAACATTAATCTAATTGTTGTGTGTTTGTTTATCAGAGGGCTGTTTTGGTAAGATTTTAAATAATGAAAGGATTTTTTATTATTGTAACCTATTTTTTAAAATAATTTGCACTGATATTTGTAACCGTTAGTTGACTTGTGATTAACACTTTAGATGAATTAGCGACTAATTTTAGTAATAATGGAAAGAGCATTTGTCAAATCTGATTGATTTCGTTACTATGGAGACAGGAAATGATGTCTGCAAAAAAATGATATATATTTATTTAATTGCGTGAATAAGATTTAGAAGGAAAGCCAAACGACCTTCGAAATAATTTGCCGATTAATTTGGTTTTATAAAAAATCACTATGACAAACAGATTTGATAAATGCCTTTTTTAATGAACATATCTTTAGATAGAAAGAACGCATTCATTCATCTGTCTCACTGTGTATATAAATCATTCTTGATATGGTCTATTTTTACTTCCAAAAGAGAGGGGCGGGGGAAAAGTATAGAAAGTTGGAGTTGGGGTAATAGACACCTCAACGGATGGGCTGTCAAACATGGCTTATGCACATCTGCATTATCCCAGTCGGTGCAGAAAAGTAGGCCATTAATCCCATTTCATTTCATTTAATCCAAAAAAAGATATGTTCATTATTATTTAAATCTTAGTGATCCCTGTTTAGATGTCCATGATATTTTATAATAAAAATATCTGTATCAGCACAAACATAGTTCCATGTTGCATGTTTTATTTAGTATTTTGAATTTTACCATCTTAAGAAATGATTATTAATTATTAAGCCATTCCAATTTGAATCAGGGTGAAATTATTCAAAATCGTCGAGGTCTGGGAATGAGGCCCATTATCATTGTGTGGGGTTTGGTTTTTCATAAAAGAACGATTTCTAATATTGAAAGTTAGGAATGGAAGTATTCATATTTGTCGAGGTCTAGGAATGAGGCCCATTATCATTGTGTTAGGGTTTGGTTTTTCATAAAAGATCAATTTCTAATATTAGGAGTTAGGAATGGAAATTTAAAAGCTAGGAAAGGAAATTTTAAAAATGAGGTCACACATTCTTGCTCAGTGAAAAACCTTAAACAAATAAATAATAAGCTTGATTGCTGAACTAGACTTCAAATTGTGTTATTTTTTTTAAAACTTGATCAAATTGGTGTGGTTTTATAGCTACAGGTAGTTGTCACTTCTTATAGAATTTTCCCTGGTCGCCATTGATAGAAATGCTTCTCTTTAGATTAACTTTTTTATATTTCTTTGATTATTTAGAAAACTTATGGACCAGGAACTGTGCACTACTCATCTTATTCTTCTCCGTCTTGGGGGCACGCTCTTCGAAAAAGCCTTAAGGCTCTGCCACTTGAAGTATGATTGATATGGAACTTAGCATTCTTGTTCCTGTTGGAGGTTTGGTGGACTAGTGGCTTAACACCTGCCCTCTCAGTTAAAATAAAGATCCTCCAATTCAAGGGGGGTTGGATGGCACGCTGTATCATAAGGCCTGTCATTGAGTCAACTGACGTGGTTTCGAATCCCTGGTTGTATGTGACAAGGAGTAAGGTCGCCTGTTCAACCTTGTTGGTTTTCTCCGGGTCCTCCGGTTTCCTCCCACTGCTAAAGACCCCTACACGCAAGCGAATTATTGAAATAAAAACAATTAAACCATATGTTAGTCCGGAAATGACCTAGTTTGTGTTGAGCGGATGTTAAACCACATTTCTCTTTGTCCCTCCAATTCAAATACAATTGATATGAAACTTGAGCATTCTTGTTCCTTCAGAGGGTTTGGGGGGGTCCAGTGGTTTAATGCATGCACATGAAATCACAAGCTCTGTCATTGAGTCAAGTGTGGTGTGGTTTCGATTCCACACTTGAATGTGACAAGGAGTAGGGTCACCTTCCAACCTCATGCGTTTTCTCCAGATCCTCTGGTTTCCCCCCACTATTAAAGACCCCTATGCGCAAGGGAATTATTGAACTAAAATTGAACCATATGTTAGTCCCAAAATGACCTAGTTTGTGTCGAGTGGACGTTAAACCCCATCTCTCTCTCTTGTTCCTTCATTTTTGATATGATGTCACAATTTCAAGATGGCTGCAATGATGTCATGCTCAGTTCCTGATACAAATAGTTCTTGTTTTTATACAGGATGGATGAGGCGTTCATATTTACTTTCTGCTGCTGACACGATTTCTATACTTTCACACAGCTTTGTCTTTGTAGCTTATTATTTATACATACATTCCTTTCAGCTGTCAGTGTAGCCGTTATATATCAATTATTATTATTATTATAAGTGTAATGCACCAAGAAAAATATTTTAAAATCGAGCCTGGAAATAAAGCACCTGTCACAGACATTTGGATTTTGTCAGGCACCATCCGTCTCGTGCCTGTCATTTTGTCCGACTCTGGTCACAGACTTTGACTCAGATTCAGACTTTGTCAGTCACAACCCCTGCAATTTTGTCTAACACGATTTTTCATTGCTGTGTTTTTATTTATTTTAATACATGACTGACACAATTTTAAAATGGCAGGTGCTTGTTCGGTTATGTCAGACATTTTGTCAGATACAACTAGAATTATTATTTCCAGGCATGCTTCAAGTGCATGAAACATGTAATTACTTAACCAGTGATCCTATTATGGCTTTTTCGGCAATCAGATATAAAATTTGATCATATGATCATCACTAAAATTGGACCGAGCTGAATATATTTTAAGTGTAGGCTGTTGCACATAGAAATGCTCAGATGCATGAATTATTGGCTGTAGCTTACAACCAATTCAACCTTCCCTGGCTTTGTATTAGCTTAAAAGTGTAGTCAGTCTTAATAAAAGATGGTCCTTACAATTTCATTGAAAAAATGGACCAAGGGAGGTAATTGCTATGTGATATAAGGTTAAGCTAAAATGATCCTGTCTTGAGAATTAATCTGTATTTAGGCCAATGTATTATCCAGCAACATAATTTGATAATACATTTGAAAAATAATATGTATGAAGTAAAACAGGCCCAGTAGGCTTCATCTGAGCTGAGCTAGTAGTCTTGATTATAAAGTCAAGAAAAATCTTTGTAGTCTCAAACACAACCATTGAAGACAGCTGATCGCTCATGGGAGATGTCAGCAGGAAGATGAGAGCTAGCTTAACTATGACCATATATGTACAGAATATTCACGACACTGGGAAATAGCCCAAACATTGTTTGAGTTTTTACTTTTATTTATATAAATTTGGAGGATCTTTTTTCTTTTTTCCCCCACCTCAAATAATAGGTGACTGGCTGAGATTTCTCATTATAGAATAATATTGGTATTATAAAATGTAAGCTTTATCCTTCTTCCACTAACATGGTGACAGAGGATACAGCAGTTTTAAAATTATATAATGTCTTAGATAAAAATTATACAGCATTCGGATAAAAACATACTGAAATTATTGTATGGAAGCTTGACTTAACCAATTTAAATATTTTTGTTATGTTAGTGTTATAATATGGACAAGAGAATCTCTTGTAGTGTAGCTAATGTTTTGATATTTTGTTAATATAAGAATGATTTATTATTTATTTGGACTATTTCTTGAATGTTTATATGTAACAGCCACAAACCAGGAGCATTCATTGTTAGTGCAGAAATACAGGAAATTTATAAAAAAAATTACAAAACCTCAGGAGTTTAAAAGTTTTATGTATTTTTGTTTTTGCAGAATTTACCTTCGATGGATTTGCAACTGATATTTGTCGCAGTATGGTTGCCATGAATGATGTATCCTTATTAAATTATAAAATAAATATAATTTTTATGAACAGGCCTTTTCTTGTCAATACAAGGGCATATATGAATCTTAAGAATTCTCAAACCGAATTGTCCAAATGGTAGTTTGCCTGTCCAACCTCGTGGGTTTTCTCCGGTCCTCCAGTTTCCTCCCACTGCTAAAGACCCCTATGCGCAAGCGAATTATTGAAATAAAATTGAACCATGTGTTAGTCCCGAAATGACCTAGTTTGTGTTGAGTGGACGTTAAACCCCATTTCTCTCTCTCTCTCCAAATGGTAGTTACCTCGGAAAAATTTTACTATTGTTCATAACATACCCTATTCACTTTATTTGAACAAGTCCATGAGTAAGGTGCTGGCAAGGAACAGAGTCTAGTTGTTCAGATGGGATGAGAAACAAAAAATGAGTTCCCCCAGGTACATGTAAAAGAACTTGTGACTGTTTGAGTTTGATGAAGAGTAGGCAGAAACACTGCTGTCGGGGCAAAATGTCCCTTCTACCACACTACATTAGCATGGTTGGTGCAGAAATGTACACCATTAACCTGTTAAGCGTGACGTTTCTAAAACGTTATCTACCCCCTATTGTGTAATTAATTTGATGAAGTGACGAAGAACTATGTATTATGTTTTCTAAGAATAGGTTGGGGAAAATACCTCCAAGGCATTATATTATGCAGTTGTCTAGGACGTAATATAACGTCCTACACATGCTGCGATCATGGAGGAATTCCCAAGTGACGAACTATGTTCTAAGAATAGGTTGAGGAAAATACCTCCAAGTCGTTATATTACGCCCTACACACAGTGAGTTGCAGTTGTCCAGGACGTTATATAATGACCTATGCACTTTATGGATTAAACCTCCATTCCATTCCATTTCATGAAGGAAAGTAGAACATCAAACCCCATTTCATTTGACTACAAGCAAAATCCTCATCCTCCACCTTCTCTGTTGCATTGTGTTGAAGTGACAGTAAGGTTTTAGCAATCCTTTAGCTCTATCATGATTTGATTCCTTAACGAATAACAGGGTGATTTATCTGGTAAACTCGGTTATGAAGAATTTAAAGATTTATGGACAGATTTGAGAAGATGGAAGGTAAAAACAAATAGTTTTTTTGTATCATTAACTAGTTTCAGATTTCTCTAGTATGTAATAATTTTGTATTAAAAATTTCAAAGGTTTCAAAAAATTTACAAAGAGATTACTGATAGTGAAAAAATTATACAACTTGTGAGCACTATTTCCAATCGATCGATGACAGCGATATGCATTCAGTTTTTTTGAAGATTTGACCTTATGGCAGGTCTTCATCTAATAAACTGTATAATCGGTGTCATTATGACTGTGTAACCTTGACTGCATCTTCAATAGAAGGCTTGATCTCGCTTTAACTATGTACATCTTATCAAGGCCTTTACGTAATACCCTACATATTTCAGCACTAATTTCGATTGGGTACAAGCCCAACTTGTGAACCTATCCGATTCCTCGCTCGTCGTAAATACCAGGTCTCGCACTTTCAAGCTAAAAATTCTACCTGTGATAATCGAGTTGCAAAGTTCAAGTTTCATTCAATGTCAAGGTTTCCGTGGAGATGGCGATGTCACAGCCTCTGATTGGATGCTACTGCTCGTGTGTCTGTAGATAACATAGCTATAGGTTTGGGAATTGTGAAGTAAACAAGCAACGGCCAGTCGTTGCTTCAGGAACATGCCTTGACTGTTGACTTGAAGCCTGACACAATTTTATTTTCCCAAGAAAACACTGCTTATTGTTGGAAGATGTGTTTGCTGTGTATTGTTTTTTGTCAGAGACTTCAAATTTTATTTTCCCAAGAAAACACTGCTTATTGTCAGAAGGTGTGTTTGCTGTGTATTGTGTTTTTTGTCAGCAACTTCAATTATAAATGTAAATTACATGGTATGTTTTATATCTGATTTTAGAGAGTCTTCAAGGAATTTGATCACGACGCCAGTGGAACATTGAATTCATATGAATTAAGAAAGGCTCTCAATTCAGTTGGTAAGAATTTTTCTCTATAATACTAAGATGTTGTTTAATTATTTGTCCTCTATTTAAAATTACATACCCTGTATATATAGAGGGGGAGGTTAGATGGCTGAGTGGTTAGCTTGTGTGTGTTGTATCATACAGTCTGTCATTGAGTCAGCTGGCACGGTTTTGATTCCCCGGTTTTAGGCGACAAGGAGTAGGGTCACCTGTCAATCAAACCTTGTGGGATTTTTCCGGGTCCTCCGGTTTCTTCCCACTGCTAAAGGCGGATACGCACAAGCAAATTATTGAAATAAAATTGAACCATATGTTAGTCCCGAGATGACCTAGTTTGTGTCAAGTGGATGTTAAACCCCATTTCTCTCTCTCTCTCTCTCTCTTAAAGTTTTGTGCTTGGTGTAGAGGGGTGGTGGGGTTATTTTGAACCATATGTTAGTCCTGAAATGACCTGGTTTGTGTCAAGTGGATGTTAAACCCCATTTCTCTCTCTCGCTCTCTCTCTCTCTCTCTCTCTCTCTCTCTCTCTCTCTCTCTGTCTTAACTTTGTTTTGATTACCATTTTCATTAGCCTGGTTGGAGCAGAAAAGTAGGATATTACAATTCCATTCATGTTATTTATATTGATTAACTATTGTATATTTTCAGGTTTTAAATTGAGTAATTCTACCTTCCACTCGGTTGTTATGCGTTACAGTAATTCGGATGGTATTGTTGATTTTGGTGACTTTGTTGTTTGTGCCATCAGATTGAAAACTATGCTCAGTAAGTTTTTCTTTCCTTCTTCCCATCACTCTGGATGCTTTCATCCCACTATTCCTTGGCAGGGGCTAAGTGAGAGGGGCGCAGTGATGCGTTTTGCGTCATGGTTTTGAGTTTTTGCACCCCCTTGAGTTTTTGTGACCCCTCGCAAATGGCAAAAAATCACATTATAATCCTAATCATAATGCTTCACCAGTGTCAAATATATACCATGGTTCAGATATGCTACATATCAACTCTAGCATGTTCCACACAGCCCAATATTTCCCAGCGGCACTAGGAGGGCTTCCCCAACCCTTACCCACATACACATTTAAATATTTGTTTTGGGGGACCCGGACGGGGTCTTGTTCCTCATGCAAAATCATGGGTCACCACATCCCTGTTCCTTGAAACTACTTCCATGCAACAGAATACGATTTCATGTACAACACACTAAGGGGGGTTGGATTGAGTCGACTGGCGTGGTTTCGAATCTACGGTTGTACGTGGCAAGGAGTAGGGTCGCCTGTCCAACCTCGTGGGTTTTCTCCGGGTCCTCCGGTTTCCTCCAACTGCTAAAGACCCCTACGCGCAAGCGAATTATGTAAATAAAATTAAAACATATGTAAGTCCCGAAATGACCTAGTTTGTGTCGAGTGGACGTTAAACCCCATTTCTCTCTCTCTCACAACACACTAAGACTGTGTGATTGTAATCATGCCTCTTACTATCTACCATATCCTGCAGTTGAAGAAGAAAGTTCATCAGGATAGTCATGAGTTTTTCTCCCTTGTCATTGGTGCAGGACACAGGGCTTGGCAATGGACAACGTATGGTCATTTGGATGTGACAAAAAAACGAGTTCCCCTGTACACGTTGGTGTGCACGTAAAAGAACACTTAGCAGATGGAATTTGATATAAGAGTAGGACATAGTGCTGCTGTCTGAGCAAAATTTCCCTCATAGCATTTTGTGTCCGTCTAATTGCAAAATGACTTAAATTTATTTTATATTATTTTAGCTTCATTCAAGATGGCCGATCATGAGAATAAGGGAATTGCATCATTTGATATTGATAATGTAAGTATTATTACGTGACTCAGGGTGTTTGGTGGGCTGGTGCGTTTATTTATCAAATCGGAATTGTAACATATTTGGATGGAGACCCAACAGGCTATTAACCTCTCAACTTCTGCAATTTTTACTTTTGTTTCATCTTTGCAATTAACGACTGAAATTGGTTTCTTGTTGAAAAGTTGAAGGTGTCACATCTAGTCTTATTACCAATTCTACAGAATATTGGTTGCGCACGATATTATGTCTTGTGATTAGTCAGTGGTGTTGCTATAGTAACTATATACATGCTTAATGTACATTAATAATGGCAGTTTGTTACAGTCTTATAAAGTTTCTGTTCAACCTCGGGGGTTTTCTCTGGGTCCTCCAGTTTCCTCCTACTGCTAAAGACCCCTACATGCAAGCGAATTATTAAAATAAAATTGAACCATATGTTAGTCCCGAAATGACCTAGTTTGTGTTGAGTGGTCGTTAAACCCCATATCTCAAGACAAACCTGCGGAAAAGACAAACTAAACAGACATTGCAAGAAATATTGCAAACAAATATCAAATCAAGTGAATGGATTTCAAGAAAGATGTAATGCAACCAGTCTTTAAAGGAGCTAAATCCCCAACTCAATTCTTTCGATAATATTCGAAATTGAGTATTTGTTAAGTGTCTTGTTCTGTTACTGTCTTTTTTATTTCTTTGTTATAAAGGACAAAATTGTAAACAGGCTTTAAGCTTAATTTTTCACCTTTGCCGTGGAAATATAGGATCCTAATACCCAATATTTAAGACACAATGAAAATTTGATAATCAGTAGGCCTACACCAGTCATGTATTGTTTGGTTTCGGGTGCCATTTGTAATCAACAAAGAAAAACATATCCTACTAGACAATGCGGAAGTAATTAGTAATGGCTGATTCACAAACGTCAAAATAATAATAAAAAAACGTGTAGAATGGACTAAGCAGATGAAAATGAATAGAGCCATACACCCTTTTAACATACATTATGCAAGAGCTAAATCTGCCTATTGCAGGTCTTTCTTTAGGGCTGAAATGTTATATAAACTATTAATTAGACATTTATTAACAAAACAAGACCATGATCAATATTCGATGGCACCAGATACTCAAGATTTTAACTAGATTAGAACAGTTTGCCATTTCAAAATTTGATTTAAAAATGGGCAAGCGAGGCCAAGTCTCGAATATACCAGTGGCCTGGTTACCACAATGCACACATCTTGTCAAAACTACAAACAGTGATAACTTGGCCCAGAGTGAAGTAATTTGAATTAAATTTTCAATTATTTCATTTTACATTATCTATTTTTGAGTTATTATAATATAGCAAGAATGGTTAGCTCTTCATCTAAACCTTACATAATGTATCTTTAAGGATTATATTAAAGTTACAATTTCATATTTTTAAGTTATATTTTTAAAATGTATTAAAATAAAGCCCTAAAATAGATGGTATCTATAAACAGTCCTACTTTGTTAAAGAATAATCCTATTAATCCTATAATTCACTATTGCCAGTTGAGAAATTGGCAAAAATATCATTTTTAACTTCAAATTCAAACTTTTGAAGATAGCTATTCTATGGTGGGGAATAGGAAAACAAGGGAGTTAATTGGGAGGTAATTGTGTTATTATTTCCGGTGTGAAGATTTTTAAGTGTGAGAAAGATAACCTATGATCGTATAATAGTGAGTTGACAACCTATTGAGCAAAAGACATAGAAATAATTATGTTTTGACTTTCTTAGAAAATATGAAATTGTAACTTTAAGTCTTGTAATAATGTTCCTTTTCTCTTTTCAGTTCATTCAGACAACAATGTATTCTTAAATCTAGCATTTCATTCAGAAGAGGAAGAAGGCAACTACGATGACTATTTATAAAACCACATCAAAAACCCCAACTATTATATAAATAACCCAAACAACTTTATTATTCATAATATTTTATTGGTTTTTACCACTGTTAAATGTTTGTTAAAATTTCAAGTTACTGCTGTTTTTATTTGTAACTAGATTTAAGGAAAAACATATTATTTTACTGAGTTAGCGCAACCGATGTTGTGCTTGACCCTTCTCGTAGATTCATCATTGAATCGAGTGATTCTTTCAATCATGGAGAGTTTGTTAAGCAAACAGTTGTCTGGGAAAATCATATTAATAGCAAATAAAATTAGTTAAGAAAGGTAATTTTGACCTTTAATAAAACAAATATGTTTGCATGAAAGCTAAAAAATTTCCCATCAGCAAAGAAATGTGTGTTTATAGTGAATAAAATCAATGAATGACCTTGGAGAGGAAAAATATTTTTTCATTATTTTTTAAAAAATAACCATGAAGAAAAATCAGATTTTTGGAAAATGGTGATTTGAGCTTTGATGACCTCTTAGAAAATTTTTGTGGATGATATTAAAACAAATATCCATAAAGAAGAAATAGGAATATGTGCTTATTAAGTAGAAAAAAAGGGATTTTATTTTTCTTTACTAAGGGTAGTTTTGTACACTGTTTCTATTACCGGTATATTCATTTGTATAACTAATAATTTGAATCTCACACTGTATCTTGATAGTATCCATGGTAACTTAACTATTTAGATTATGCTAATGAGCTTCAGACCAACCATGTTTTTATGTTAGATTTTTATTTGAAAAAAAACAACATTTTGTAAATATAATTACAAAATGAAATATCTTTCTGAACATATTGTGGCCTCGCTAAATTTGTCGGAAACTGCAATCACTAATGTGCTTCTACCGGCCATTTGTCTTGCCTGTGATAAAAAATATTTCATGAAATAATAGATAATAATGGTAGGCCTACATGCTATCATGCTAAATTTATGTTGTAATATATCATTTTTTCTACGATTTTCCATGAACTTTTATATTATTAACTTCCTGTTATATTTAAATGAACTATGCAGTATAATGTTGTTGGAATCATTGTTCTTTTGTTTATGCGGGTAAAAAGTGTCTACACTACTTTCACTTTAGGCCAAGCCAATTTAATGTAATGTTTTGTTTACTGTTACAAGACCTAACTATTTGAAACTAAAAACCTTTGAAAGGAAGCAAAATTTTAATATGTTTACATGACTGATATAAATTAAAATTAGTGTAGCCTAAAATTGTTGCCATAATGTACAAACACAAAAATAGAGAAACCGTGAGGGAGTAATGTAGTTCCTCCCTGTTGTGAATCGACCCCTTGAGAAGCTACCATCATATCACAATATGTACTCAAGAGTCTAAAGATAATATGGTCTTTATGATAGGGGCACCTGCTACAGTGCACAAACACACACATATACATCAGTTTGTTAATTTGAGATTAGTTATTAAATATTTTGTTTTTGTATGATCAATTCTATATAATATTGCAATATGTAAACTATGAAAGATATAATATATTCAAATATTTATTCATGTTCCCTCGTCTTGTTTTAGATTTTTTGTTTATAGAGAAAGTTGTTTTTTTTTTTTAGACCTATTTAAATTTAATAATACATAATAACCATTTATACAAATTGTTAAAACTTTAAATTCACCAGACTCAACCAAATTATTTCTGTCTAAAATTTGGTGCATTATCTCGTCAATTTTATATGAATCTCTGGGGACTAATGCTGTTAAAGACAATATGTTCGTGGTTATGGGTACTTGTCATAATCTGAATCATTTGGTGGTTATTTTGGGGGCCTTATTCACGAAATCATAAACTAAAATATTTGAACAATTCAACATTTTCATTGGCTAAGAATAAAAATCCTTGTACAAATTTTAGCTTGTAACCAATGAAAAGACATCATTCTTATAATATTTTAGTTGAAAATTTTCTGAATAAGGCCCGAGGAAATGAAGTTGTGAAAATAAATAACTTAAATATGGGTCAGATGGATCTGATCTGCTCTGATTGGTTAAAAAAGTGTTTTATGGGGTTCAAATTTCAGCCAATCAGTTAGAGCTTATACATCAGTCTTGTTAAACCAGTTATCAAATTGATATAAAAAGCTGAAATCAGGTTGTCTTGAACTCTCGTCTGCGATATCACCCTAGGTAGAAGCCGATGTTAAACCCTATAAACGAGCGTACTCTTGAATGTTTTAGGCTGCAATATCGACATTAGGAGGATTCAGACATAAAGTGAATTACTAAGTTTCTAACAAGTTATATTATTGTTAAATTGCCCCTATATTGTACGTAGTGTTGTAGAAATAAAAAAAAACTTGGTAGATTTCTCACCAATTTTATTAATGTTTATATGTTTTGCTATTGCTAAACATATTTGTGTCATTTTTTTTTTTTGTCAACTTTTACTTTCAGTGAAAATAAAACTGGATTATAAAGGATTTTATCAGTTGTTTTGTCTTCTTGAAGTCCTGATGCGTTAAAATATCAAATTTCTCACAGCTTAGTCCACGTTTAATCAATATGTATTCAGATTGATTATTTACCATTTAATTAAAAAAACAAAATGGGCATACCAATGCTAGAAAATCTTGCAGCATGAATTTAATCAGATTTTTCTCCTCTACCAATAAAAGATGGTAGTTTCTTTTGTGTTCCAACAGCGTAGATCGATGAAATTTCAATCGCAGTGTGTGCTAAGAGAGAAATTTTGCCCGGACAGTGGCGCTATGGCCTACCATCTGAATGACTCTACGTTGTCCCTTGCCAGGCCCTTTGTCATTCACCACTGACAAGGGGGAACCCTGTCGGAAAATCCTAGCCTAAAAAATCTCGGCCAACGAACGCAGGGAGCGAACACAGGACTTCCAGGTTAACGAGCCAACATCCTACTCACTGAGCCACTGTGGCTCCTTTACTTCACCAACCAAGCTAATAAAGATGGAATGGCTTTTAATGCCTTACGTCTCTACACCAATCAGGTTGTAAAATGAACATGTGCTGTGAGAAATATTTTGCCCATACAGCAGTACAACAGCCTACTCTTATTTCGATTTCTAACTGTTAGGTGATCTGGAACACACTGCCAATCTCCTTTTATTTTAATTTTTTTGACCCATCAGAATGACAAGACACTGGAAATTATGGGATACCCATATAAATCAACCAGAGATTGTTATGGTTAAATTGTTATTGATAAATCAACCAGAGATCATTATGGTTAAATTGTTATTGATAAACCAACCAGAGATTGTTATGGTTAAATTGTTATTGATAAATCACACAGATTGTTATGGTTAAATTGTTATTGATAAACAAACCAGAGATTGTTATGGTTAAATTGTTATTGATAAATCAACCAGAGATTGTTATGGTTAAATTGTTATTGATAAATCACACAGAGATTATGGTTAGAGCTGTGGCTGCAATCTGTCCCCTAATGGAACCTAATTATTGTCCGTCAGAGACCATTCCAAAATGAACTGGTCAGGACAATTCTCAGCTTTGCTTCTGCTTTGGTTTTATTTCATTACGGCATAAAACAAACAAATAAAGCAATAAAATAAGATCTTTAATATTTCAAACAGGTTTGATCACTCTCCCCAATAAAATAAAATTAATTCATTTCCGGAATTTCCAGCACTGGCCGACTTACATTAAAGTATTTTCTCCGAGCGTACCTGATAAACACCTTGAAATCACTGATTAAATATTATGCGCAGTTATTTAGAGTTCTTCTGCATTAAACACTTGGATTACTAATTAATTATGGCCAGTTATTTATAATTCTAGATTGAACACCTGGATTACTAATTAATTATGCCCGGTTATTTAGAGTTCTTTGTGATAAACACCTTGATTACTACTTCATTATGCCCAGTTATTTATAGTTCTTCTATATTATGTAAATGATAATGATCTGTATTATTGTACCAGTTCCAAACCGCTACAGACCATTCCATTACTATATTAGGATTGGAATCTAATTGTCGGGAGTAATAACCAACGATCTCCGGAACTTCTCCATTATCATCAGTCCTGGATCCCGGACTGCCTTCTTGTGGTGGAGTTAAATTTAACATAAATTCTCCACCTGAAAAGATAAAGTTGGTCATTATTATTTTATGTCACTAAAATACGGTTACTTTTACGGGGGTGGATGGCCGAATGGTTAGCATATGTGCGCTGTATCATAAGGCCTGTCATTAAGTCTACTGGCAAGGTTTCGAATCCCCGGTTGTACGTGACAAGGAGTAGGGTCGCCTGTCCAACCTCGTGGGTTTTCTCCGGTTTCCTCCCACTCCTAAAGAACCCTACGGGCAAGCGAAATATTGAAATAAATTAAACCTATGTTAGTCCCGTGATGACCTAGTTTGTGTCGAGTTGACGTTAAACCCAATTTCTCTCTCTCTCGCTCTGATCTACCTACCGGATATAAAAAGACTCGGTTGAATATGATCTAAGAATAGAAATCTTCCATACATGGGTCGAAATCTGGGAAGAGACGTGTTTCTTCTTCTGCCATGACTTTCTTCAATACTAATTTTAATTTTACTATCTAACGGATGACGCATCAATTTAACTTTTATAAATTTCAAATTTCTCATTAGATATTCCACTTCCGGGTGTTTTTCAAGAATTTCGGGTTTGGCATTCGTATGTTTTAATCGAATATGGAGCCGAAACGTGTTATTAATCAAATTATTTAAAAAGCGCGGGAAATGTAATGTCCCCGGTTCATCGGAAGAATATTCTCCGTTTGCTTTGATCGTTGGTTCGCTATACGGCTGCCTTTCAAACGGGCTTATCCAGAATTGCGTAGCGTTGCTGTTAACCCTTGCTTTTCTGATTTTTGGGAAAATATCTTTCATTAAAACATGTCTTCTAAGTTTTTCCCGGTCTGGCGAATTCTTCACATTAACCACAATGTTCGCGCGAGCAACACTTTCTTCAAGTTCAAGCGTTTCTATATCATCATTCTCGGCGTCCAGATTTTCAGCTTCCCCTCCGACATCTTCCGTTTCGTCTGGAAGTTCCACACGCCGTCTCATTCCAAGACTGTTCCCCATCTTTTAACACCCCCTTCTCTTTAGAAATCTGTCGACAAAAGTACCGTGGAAACAAATCGAAAAACAATTATTTATGGCATCGTTTCCCCTTTCATCACACGGTTGTTATGGCGTCAGAGGTAAAGGTTTGTGACGTTGTGGACAATAAAAAAAAACACCCCTTTACCTATAAACCTATATGACGCGAAAATTGTTTCGGTTGGCCCAAACAATGATAATGCATTATGTTAGAGCTAAAACTACTTATTGCAAATCTTTCTTTTGGCCTCAAATGTTATATAAATTATTAATTAAACATTTATTAACACTGCAAGGCCAAATGAACTTTTGATGCCATCTGATGGTTCCGATTTTCAACAGATTTGAATCCGATTCAAGGGCCATTGATGTCAAGCCCATAATCAACTCTCCTGATCATCGGATGGTTGTCAGTTTGAACAGATTTAAACACGATTGTCATTTTAATAATTTGATTTAAAAATGAGTAATCGAGACCTTGTTTTTTATCTTAACAACGGTAGTGATAAAATCGAGATTACGCTATTCATAGGCGTGCGGGCTCGATGACAGTTAGGGGGCAGAACCCGAAATGACCGAAACATTTTCGGGTTTACAGACAGCGGCGCCGGTCTTCCTCCAGTGGTTTTGTAACCGAAATTCCATTCTGAATACCAACCATCCAATCAGACTGTTGCAGCTGCATTCACAAATAATAATCGATGCCCGAAAAATGTCGCCCAAAGTAGAATGGCTCCAGACAAAATCTTTTAATCCATAGTCAACTTAGTACAAATTCGTGGTATTCAATTAATAGAAAAGTAAAATTAGTATTTTATTAGGGCTCGATGACAGTTAGGGAAGCAAAAGTAGAAATGCCCGAAAAAAATTCAGGTTTACAGACAGCGGCGTCGGTTTTCTTCGAGAGGCGAAGAAGCGAAGCTGACCTTGTATGCCCCTTCCCCCCAAAGAAAATTTTGGAATATTTGACGGCCGCAAACGCGTTTTACTGCTATTCCAGCCCGTAACATTAGTGTTTTATTAGATTTCGGGTACTTTATTTTGCCAAGTAGTCTGTCCGAAAAGTCAGCTTGCCCGAAAGTTAGTGGGGCAGCTGCTCCCCCTCCCCCCTGGCCCGTACGCCTATGACGCTATTCTTCAAACATTCACAATAGGCCGATTTAGCTCTTGCATAATGTATGTTTAAAACTTTCCAAACATCCAGCACTTATTTCTCCATAGTTTAAACCCTATTGTCTACCTTCCAATTACTCACCCGGTGATCTGGTCATCCACTCAAATATCTATTTACCCTCTTAGTTAAAGTTTCGTGAAACAGGCCCCAGCCATTCACATCGCTTTACATTGTGTGTAGTTGCAGTTAGGGGAAATTATACAACAATGTCCATTTGCATTCAAATGCAATGGAGTTCTTGACTGCTGAATGATATTTTAATGCAGGGATGAACTCCGTAGGAGCGTGTCGAGTATGGTTGCCTTGTGGGGAGCTAAGGAAGTTATTGATCTGAGATACATTGTACCTTGGGATCACTTTTACTTTTGAATTTACGTCGTTTTTTGATGAATTGGTAAGCAAAATAGTCTCTGGCGGTTTGGTACTCCGGTTACACTGGAGGAAGGGTATTGTTTAATCTTGTGTAAACAGCGTAGGTTTCTCTTGTGCGTTGAATAAGGCATAACTATAAACTCTAGACGGCAACATTTAGAGTCAGTTTTTCATAAAATCTCCCGCACCAGACCCCCTATAGTGAAGGCTCCTTGTGTCAAAGAGTGCCATTCACGTATTTATTGACCAATCATAAAATCACAACCAATTACGCAGCCCCCCCCCCCCCCAACTCAACAAATATTCAAATAGTAAATTTCACGTAGAAACCTAAGGGGTGTGGTCAACACATCGCCAGTGCATGCTTAATTATATGTGCTAATTTAATTTAGGCTGTTTGATAGAATTTTAATACCTGTTCACATTTAGTTAAGATGCAAGAGAGAGAAGACCTGGAGAAAACCCACGAGGTTACACTGGCGACCCTACGCCTTGTCATGTACAAGCGGGGAATCAAAACCACACGACTTGTCTCAATGACAGACCTTCTGATCCAATGCGCAGCCTTAACCATTCGACCACCCAACGCTCCTAGGTATGATCTATGGTTGAGCACTTTCAAAACATACCAATGAGATAACCGTAGGCACCTGTAGGTATACTATTCAAAAAAAGTAGGGGATATTTGATTTTGGGGGCATAATACTAAAATATGCAAATGACTACGAAAAAAGTCACTATAGAACCTAACAGAAGAAACATTTCCAGTTACATGTGACGCCCAAACGCACCAATAGCTACCGCATGGAATGCAGGTGATGCTTGGGATCATCATGGGGGTCCAACCCAAGATTTGCACGACTCTGACTTTGAATGTTACAGTCATTGTGGCATTGAATTCCAGGGTGGAAACATCAGTTTAATTGTTTTAGTGACCAGAAAACAAATTTTGATATGCGTCGGCTTACCCAAAATGAAAGGTTACGTGCCCTTGGCATGCTACAGATCGGCACAACACAGGCGGTTGTGGCGCGGACGATGAATGTTTCTCAGTCTGTCATAAGCAGGCTATGGTCCAGATACCGTGATACACAATCTGTACAGGACAGACCACGCTCAGGTCGACCAAGGGCGACAACTCAAGCCCAGGATCGATTTATCCGTACCTTGGCCTTGAGAAATTGTGTCATCACAGCAAATCAGATCAGCGCTCGTCTTCAAACAGACACTGGTGTGAGAGTGAGTGGCCAGACGATTCGGAATCGACTGCATAGGGGTCACCTTCGCGCCCGACGTCCTCGCGTGATCCCTTGTTTGAGAGATCATCACATTCAGGCAAGACGTCGTTGGTGTAGGGATCGTCAACACTGGGATAATCGACGCTGGAGCAATGTGATGTTTTCAGATGAGTCAAGGTTCACTGTTGATTTTTTGGACAGACGTAGGAGGGTGTGGCGTCGTCGAAACGAGCGCTTCCAAGACGTTAACGTCATCAGACATGATCGATTTGGGGGTGGTTCTGTTATGGTGTGGGGAGGCATCACTGTTGCTGGAAGAACGGCTTTACATGTTGTTGCAGGGCGTGTTACAGGCCAGTACTACCGGGACAACATCTTGGCAGTCCCTGTTGTGCCGTTCGCACGACGTCATGGCCGCCGTTTCATCTTCCAGGATGACAACGCAAGATGTCACAGGGCCAGGATCGTTACAGGTTACCTCCAACAACAGAACATCACCACATTACCTTGGCCAGCACTGAGTCCCGACCTCTCCCCCATCGAGCATGTCTGGGACATGCTTGGACAGAGGTTACGTCAACGTCAACAACGTCCTGCCAATGTCCAAGAACTTGCTGCTGCGTTGCAACAGGAATGGGACAATCTGGACCAAAATGACCTTAGACGTCTCATTAGGAGTATGCCACGTCGGATCAATGCTTGTTTGGCAAACAGAGGAGGATTTACCCGTTACTGACTTGGTTGTGATGCTGTGGTAACTTTGCTGTTTGACCCCGGGTATCATTTTACCCTTATAATGGTCAGTCTGTGCCTTACTTAGTCTAACGATCATTTGGAATAAATCGATGAATGTGAACTTCATTTCATTTTGTCATTTGTTTCTTCGTCAGTTTCATTAGGTGACTTTAATAACACTTAAAAATCAAATATCCCCTACTTTTTTTGAATAGTATATTTTTGCGTATTATTGAGTAACAACATGTGCCAAGGGTCTGCCCTGCCTTATGACCAAACCCTATAAGTTCAGTATTTACAAAGTTATGATAAACTGAAATTTCATTGATCTATGCTTTTATTGGTACAATAAAATGGATCTAGCTTCAATCCACTGAATCCAAACCAGTAGAATATCTAGCATTGGTATTTTGATTTTGTTTTCTTAATTAAATGTTAAATAATTATTCTGAGTACATATTTAGCAGGTATTATTAAGCCATGCATGAGAAATTGGATATTTTAGTGAAAATACAAATTATGCATCAAGCCTTTGATGACATGAGAACAGATGTAGATAAGTGGAGAATATTGAATTATTTAATTGTATCACGGCACAAGATATAATCAAAATCATGAAGTGTTTAAAAAGTTAGACTAAAGCACAGCTCTTATAATTTTCTCAATTAACCAGTTAAGCGCGACGTTTTTAAAACGTTAACTACCCCCTATTGTGTAATTAATTTGACGAAGTGACCAAGAACTATGTACTATGTTCTAAGAATAGGTTCGGGAAAATACACACACAGTGAGTGGCAGTTGTCCAGGATGTTATATAACGACCTACGCACTTAACAGGTTACAGATAAGTACATTATGTAAGATTTAGGTAAAGAGCTAGCCATTCTTGCTGTAATAATCTGAAAACAGATAATGTAAAATGAATAATCTGAAAATTTCATTCAAATTACTTTATTGTGAGCGAAGATATTAGCCTTTGAAGGTTTGACAAGACGTGCAATAATTTCAACCCCCGTAATGGTTGTTCGAAGCTAAGTCTTGCTCTTCCATTTTTAAATTAAATCAAAATAATGCTGAATCGTTCTTATCTAGGAGAAATCTGATGCCATCGAGAGTTGATTATGGCCTCGATCAGTTAATTAATGTCTAATTAATAATTTAGAAAACATTTAAAGCCTAAAGAAAGACATGCAAACAGGCAGATTTTGTTCTTACATAATGCATGTTTAGTTCATATAGAATATTTCTCCAGAAGATGTACCAATCATAAAACTATTGTATTCTGAATGACGATCGATTGAAAGTGGTTGAACATAACTGGAAAAATCGGAACGTAATTGTTTGAAATTTCCGTTGCAGTCCAGAATGTGGATACCATATTTAAGATCAGCAACTAGAATGTTTCCATCTCTGTCTGTTGTCACGCCCCAAAATTCACTTCCCGGATTATTAGATATGTATGTAAACCTGATGTCACCTTCTTTGCTGAGAATTTTAACGAATGAACCATGGTCTGATACAATAATATCATCATTAATATTTTGTGTAACGAACATAGGTGCAATGAATAAATCCGAGCCATCCCTCGATTTTTTGTATATTCGATCAAGTCTTCCATCATCAGTAAACATATAAATACATCTATCGTGCTGATCACAGACAAATACAGTTCCTTGTGAGCCAACCGCGATACCTCTAGGGCAGGTTAAATTTGTTACAATCGTCTCTGATAGCTTGAATTGCATATAATTCTCCTTATAGACACAGACTTTACCAGTTCCCAGGCAAAGTTCCATGACCGTCACAAATATTAATTTGGGTTTCTGCTTACTTTTGGCCACCCCAAAAACAGTATAATTGCTGAACCCCTGTTGAATTTTGATTTTTGATTCATTTCCATCCATAAAGTGAAGAAGTTCGCTTGAGGATGCAGCTATGTAATTTTTATCGTCAAATACAGCTACGCTTGTTACATGATTACTACTAGAAGACCGTTGCATTAGTCGAATTACGCCGACCTGATTAGGGGCTGAGATTTCTGTTACTGACTGACGTAAAAATATCTGGCCAAGGGGAATCCCACGGGCGTTCTCAATGTGGGCTAAATCCTGTTTATACTCCAAAGAGGGCACACTCAAGACATTGACAACTCTATCCTTGATTTGGCCATATTCATCAATCAGCAGAAGTGACGCATTTTCCATTTGATCCAATTGGTTATGATCGAGATGAGTGGGACTCACATTTTTGTAGGTGGATGAAATGTGGTCTAACTGCTCTTGAATATTTTTCAGGGGACTGGAGATAGAATGTATCTGTTCCAAAATTTCCCCAGTTTTGCCGTCCAGTTCTTTAAGTAATTTCTGGCGACAGTTTTCAATTGCCCCCTTCAACATCTCGCACTGATTATTTACCTCAATTTGAAGTTTACTCAAATTATCTATGGTTTTACCTTTTGCAGACTGTAATGAAATTAGACACCCTTCAATGGACTTGGCGAATTCTTCGATTTTAGAACATTTTTCAGACAGAAGACCACAGACAACTTCATTATATTCTTGGAGGGGAAGTAGCTCGTGTGTTTTCGTATTTGGTATTTTTTTATGTCCACGAGTGCAGGGCTCACACAGCCAGTTACTACACTGTAGACAGTAGGACCTGGAGTCTCTCTCTTCCTCACATAGTTGACAAAATTTGCTAACAGACCCCGGGAAAGAGTTTGACTGGACAATTTCCTCTTTGATATTGGAAAAGAAAACTAATATATTCTTAATAAGAAGATTTGACTGCGTGTCTAATTTTCCAGAAGTTATTGTAATTGGTGTTCGACATATGGGACAAGGAAATTTATTTACAAATTTACTTTTTTCTACATAATTCTCCAGACAAGTTAGACAAAATGTATGTTGACACTGCAGTTGATGTGGATTTACCAAAGTTTCGGTACAGATTATACATGACAGAAAATTTTCTAAAACTTTTTCTTTTAGTTTGCTTATGGTTGGTATACCATCTCCAGATGCGGCCATTTTCTCACCTGAAAAATAAAGTAGGAATGAAATGAATAGAGTTAACAAAAAAAAATTACTTGGGATACCGTACTGTCTCTAAATGTTGATTGTGTCCATGTTCTTCATAGCTGCCCTAGGAACATTCTCCTGCCTAACACTTGAGATTGTTCATGAGTTTTTACAGGAAGCTGTTAGACTAGAATCCTCAAAGTGATTAAACTTTTGCTGTTACCAGTGTTTATATTTCTTCTAATAGAAAAAGGAAGAAAGGATTTTGAGTTCAACTTCCATCTGAAACTACATGTAATATTGTAATCCGATCATATAATCCAAAACTTGAGTGTCAATTTTCAGGCCTGGATTGCATAAGCATGGCTTCTGGCACAGCTATAGAGACCATGGAAAATCCTATCATAACCCTAAAACAAATTATGAAGGGACCATCCAAACCCATGGTTGTATTGATCAATGCATGCCATCTGACCTTCGAATAGTATGTTGTCAGTATTGTGAGGTCTTCCGGGAGAAGGCTATAATTATGTAAGACAAGTCTCTCCCCAAGTCTATATCTATCTATCCTTTCTGCATTCTGAAGTGCCTATGTAATGTATATATAGCCTAGCATAATGTCAGTCTGGCCATCATGCATGACTGCTTTTGTCTAAAGTGCACATTTAATAAATCAAATGATCGTATTTAATCCATAGTATATCAGATGAACGAACCCTTAATCGGAAGTGACGAACGCCAAAGGAAAACACGAGTAATCTCTCTATATAACGTGATAACGGATATACAGGTGAATTTCTGCTCACTAATAATTCCCTCGAAGACCAAAAGTTGTTGTATGAGACTGTGAGAGGATATCTGACAATTCATAAAAAGAATTGACTGCCACTAGATAAGTGAACACGAAAGAAAAACATAAAAAGTCTGTGCATTACCATGTTTTTATAAGGTATAGAATGAATATAAACAAGGGAATGTACGGAATATTTCTATTTTTCTTGTGTTCTCTTATCTAATGACATTCAATTACTTTATTGAATTGTCAGGTATCCTTTTCCATATAACAACTTTTAGTCTTCGAAGGAATTATTAGTAAGCAGAAATTCGGCCGTGTAGCCTGTCTGTTATCACTCGTCACATCAGTCAGTTATATAGAGAGATATGACTCGTGTTTTCCTTTGGCGTTTGCACTTCCAATTCAGGAAACCTGTATTACTCAGCTATCGAAGCAATGATCTCTGTGTTAAAATTATATTTGGAATGTGTTTAACCAGCTCTATCACATATGTGATAATGACTGGCACCAATATTATATTGTCCTTTAATTCATCTATGATCTACTATTACTAAAGATCTGCTAAGAAATGAATGCAGAAGACAAGACACAAGACACGGACATTGTAATTTGTCCTATAAGACTGATATTTTCTTGTCTTATAATTGTGATTATGACACCCTAATTTACGATTGATGAAAAATAATCAAACAAACCATTAATGTCTCACTTCTTCTATTTTCATCTTGATAGACAACTTCCTATTAAGTCAACGATTTACAGCGCCCCCTGTTCATTAAATGAAATTCAGCTTAATAGTCGTTGTGCTACATGCACGTCCCTTTTGATACCTTCGAAATGCGTATGCATTCTTTCTTTTTTTTATTCTATCCTGTCCATTTTAACCTTATTTATTGACATTCATCAAATTTCTCAAAGTTCAAAAAAAGCAAAACACTACAATTACTAGTAGAAACTGAAACTAGGAAAAGGGTACATAACTCTAATTTAGGTCGGGTGGATTTGAAGTTTTCGTATATAAAAATAATTGCCTGATTACACCTATTTACAATTATATTTTTACAAAAATATGTACACAGAAAACAGGACATGACATTGGTATTGTTTTAGTACCTGATAAATTGATAGAGAATCGGAGAAAACAAATTAAATAATTTGCAGACGAGTACTTCCGGTGAGATGACGTCATGAGAGACTGTCATGGCTGACGTGTGAAAGACTTTGTGATGTTTATTTCATAAAAGATAAATAAATCTGCATTTGTCAATTGCACAATAAAACAATATGTCGTGCCAACTGTCCGTTCTATCCGGGTTTCGAGATATTAAGGCAGTTAGGCAATTCCTTTTCCCTTTTCTGAGAGAACATACGCCAGAAGTTGAGTCTGCAAATTCTGTGACAGAAGTCGTAGGTTTGTTATTGTTTTTACTGATACAATCAGTGAGTTCCTAATCAGTACACATAACTTTACTTTTGCTTACATAAAAGACACTTTGTCTTACTTTTCCCACATAGCGGCCAATCACTACTATTCTGATTCTAAATAAAATATGGTACTCTTGTAATAAGACAATTAGTAGAGATAGTGTAAAGGTCATTATTTCTCTCCAAGAATTTTGTAGATAAGATACAAGATTTTAATAACTGATTCTTCAATTCAATTTAAGGATTAGAACTTACTAAATGAAGTTAACATATTAAATAGGCTGATTTCTAACTACATAAATAAATGTACTATAAACTTATATTATTGTAGTCATATTCATAAATTACATAGTTGTAGCTAGATGAGTAGACCTACAAGTGTCTAGGAATGCCAGTTAACTCGACCACAAGCAAACTCGTCCACCAAACAATTCTAGTTAAGTCGTCCACAGGTATAAAAACTCGTTGGATGATTCGTCCACACAGCATTGGTTGACTCGTCCACACAACATTGTTCATGTTAGGATACAGAAATACGTTGGTTGAATTGTGGGCACCACATTGTTTATGTTAGGGACACTGAAAGTATTCATAGTGAATATAATTAAGTGTACTGAGTGCTGCTTTATCATCATATCCATGTGGTTTTCATAGAGTTTGATGAGTATAAGCTAGAGCTGTCAGCAGTCGCATTAATAAATGACAACAAAATAAATCACTTTATTCGATAAATATTCAATAACAATTTCATTGATAAATAACAAATTCGAAAACAAGGTCATTAACCAAAAACGTTATTACACAGCCAATAAACGACCCACCCCTTATTATTGCCACTGATTAATTCTGTGTAATATTAAATTAAACCACGGAAATCAATGAAAAAGCATGATAATGAGGTATTAATTTTTAGAGCAGTAACAATAACGTTTAAAAAAGTTCTCGTAGCTGTGTTTCTATTCCATGTGGTAAAATCTGTTTTTACACACATGATACGTAACTAAAGGGGATGATTCAATTCAGATTTCATATCAAACCAATTATGTCTAAGATCATAACGCTAATCAACAAACATTACTAGTCTTCTTTATTACAAAAGCATTGGTGAACTAATCTTGGCTGTGATCGGTCCACCAAGCTAGTGGACTATTTGGTAAATAAAAGAATTATAAACAACCAATGAGTGAAACTTATTTATTCCATACAATTAATGTGTGTACGAGTCAAGTATTAGTTGTGGACGACATAACCATTAGTTGTGGACGACGTAACCAATACCCTGCGGACTACTTAACCAGTAGCTGTGGACGAGTTTGCTTGTAGATGAGTTAACTGGCACCCATATCTAGTAGTAGTACAAACTTACATGTTATGTTTCAGTTTCTGACGAATGGAATAATGACTGGGGTTGGTCCGAAGATGAACAAGCCATTCAGAAAGCTGTGGAGTCATTGGCTGGTAATAATGAAGTGGAAGACAACAGTAAAATGAAGTGGCTTCAAGATTGTTTAATTTCTCTATCACCAGCTAATGATATGATAACATTAGCTTTTGAAAACAGAATAATTGTTTTAACACGTATGTAGATGCTTTTTTTTTTCTTGGCGTGCACGTAAAAGAACCCTTGACAGTTTGAAATTGAAAGAGAAGTACGTAGTGCCACTGTCAGGGAAAAATTTCCCCCATTTTACACTGCATGCCATATGCCCATCTTCATTAGCTCATTTAGATGTAATATGAATGTAAATAATTATGTTTGCCCTGATTTGGCCCTGGAACAAGTTTTACAGATTGTAAAAGTCAAGCATGTCATGGATTGTAATATAATTGTAATAATAAAACATTTCTTATGTCATTTAATAGTTCCCAACATTCTTGTGAACTGTTGTCAAAAACACATCTTTCTGTTTAAGACTAAAACTAACATCACATAATTTTCTGTGTTTCCTTTCGTAGCAATGATGTCCCATGTTTTTTTTTTAAGTGGCATCCCTGCAATAGACTCAAAGGCAGATAAATGTGCATTTAGCTCCAAATTAATCACTTTCCCATTCAATAGCAGTGAAATTTCATATTGTTTATGACTTTGTCAATTTATTATAATTTCTATTTTTTTTTGTCTTAAGTACTTTTATCTTTCTTTCTTAAAATTATTTAGAAAAATGGGATCCTAAAAATAATGAAGAAGATATTGATACAAAGTTTACTATTGCCTGGAAGAGTGAATTTACACCAAGGTAATTTATATTGATCTTTTTAGCAATGAAAGTTTTTGAAATTGTGTAACCTACAGGGGGCGGGGGGGGGGGGGGATGGCCGAATGGTTAACATGTGCGCACTGTATCATATGATCTGTCATTGAGTCAGCTGGCGTAGTTTCGATTCCCCGGTTGTATGTGACAAGTATTAGGGTCGCCTGTTCAACCTCAAGGGGTTTTCTCCGGGTCCTCTGGTTTCCTTCCACTGCTAAAGACCCCTATGCGCAAGTAAATTATTGAAATAAAATAGAACCATATGTTAGTACCAAAATGACCTAGTTTGTGTCGAGTGGATGTTAAACCCATTTCTCTCTCTCTCTCTCTCTCTCTCTCTCTCTGTAACCTACAACATGAGAGCATGAGTCTATTACAAGACAATATCACTCTCACAGATGCAGCATCCATCTGACAAAAAATAGTGTTGATAAATTTTATTAAGTGACATTTGCGTTTCATTTTAAAAAAGATGACAATATTACATGAGATAAAAAATCTAATAAAATGAGGTGGTCAACTTTTTACTTTTGATGTGCCAAATATGAAAAGTTAAGTATTACTATTACAGTATTGGGTCATTATTAGCATGAGGTGCAATGTGCACTTGGAATGATCCAATACTGCACTTGGAATATTCTGATGTGCTGCTTAAGGCATTGGTGTCATAGGTTGGCAACCCTTCTCTGAAACAATAAATCATACCCCAGAAACAACCTTGCAAGACTGAAAGAGGCGAGGGATGTTTCATAGTTTTTCTAAACACCCCAGTTTTATCTTTGATAACTGATTAGTTTATTTGTAGCTACATATCTATATAAATTAATTTGTTTCAGTGAACTTATAACAGCTGTACTTTGTCTACCATTAGCTTCACAGAAAAGGTAAAATAGTTTACAACTATTACCACCATTGTTATTGTTATTTTTAGCTTCACAACTCTTCTCATTGTTACTTTAAGGCCTTTTGCGTGACTTCTTTCACTTAATGTGTTAAAAAAAAAAGAGTATAGTCCCTGCTAAACCGAAAGTACACTAGGTAGAATTAAAACACAAGTTTATTACTTGACGTTTACTTGCATGTTTACTTGACATCTTTCCCGGCATCCAAGGGACAGCATCTGGTTATGATGGAATGAAGTTCTGATGACTTGAGTACACATTGAAGTGCACATAAAATAATCCTTGGCAATTGGAATTCGACAAAGAATAGGGGGAAATGTTGCTGTCAGTGATAAAATCTCCCTCAAGGTCGATGCCCATCTTTATTATTGGCCAGTTGTTGCAGAAAGCTAGTACATTAAACCCCAATTCAATTAAATGGCCAATCTCGATTATATTTTGGAGAATAAAGCTGCTTACTTTTGTGTTAAAAGCCCTTAAAATCCTCTACCTTAAGGGCCGAGCAAGTAACTCAATATACGTGATACGTTTTCAAACAACTTACACCCAACAATCTTCATTTGGAAATTGAGACTGGAGTCCCAAGCTGTATTATACGGTGTCTGATAAAACCAGACTTTTATTTTATAAAAATAATATGTAGGTGAAATTTACCTTGTGTTATCAAATACAGCCCATGAGTTATGTACTGTAGACCTCTAAAGGAACGACAATAGATTATCAGGTCACCCAATGAAAAAACTGACTCGAAATCTTAAAAGAGTTACATATCTGGATAAACAATTTTGACGTTCACGTCCAAATGACTCAATATTTTGAGCTGAAATTTTGAGACAAGGTAAATACACCATCCCTCTATGTTTTGGCACTTAAATTTGATACGTACAAAGACCTTTATTTCTGAGACTCTGTTAAAATCGTAATGGTCCCTTTAATTTCCATTTCTCTGTCTCAGTAGTGTACAATATCATACCGGTACCAAATGATATTCTGTGATGTTTTATATACATTTTGTATTGTAGAAGTACCCATGGTGCACCTGATTGGACATGTGTTATTGTTGGTTATTCAAATGGTTATATTAAGATGTTTACAGAGGTTTGTATAAAGTGGTCTCGTTCCTCATCATGCTCTGCTAAGGAGGGTGGGGGGCGAATGGTTAGCACATGCGTGCTGTATCATAAGGTCTGTCATTGAATCAATTGACGTGGTTTTGATTCCCCGGTTGTACGTGACAAGGAGTATGGTCGCCTGTCCAAACTCATGGGTTTTCTTCGGGTCCTCCGGTTTTCTCCCACTGCTAAAGACCCCTACGCGCATGTGAATTTTTGAAATAAAATTGGACCATGTGTTAGTCCCGAAATGACTTTGTTTGTGTCAAGTGGACGTTAAACCCCATCTCTCTCTCTCTTTCTCATTATGCTCTATAACTAAAGATGCATTATGTAAGATTTAGATAAAGAGCTGGTCTTAATTACTTGCTGTAATAATTCTAAAAAAGATAATGAATAATGGATATATTTTATTTCACAGACAGGAGTATTATTATTGTCTCAACTACTTCATACAGAACCAATACAGAAAATAAAAGCTCACACGTATGAACCACCTCGTTATCTTGGTATGGCAGAACAGGTAATTATTGAAGATTACTTCCAGTCTCATTGCCGGGGGTGGGGGTGGCCAAATGGTTAGCATGTGTGCGCTGTATCATAAGGTCTGTCATTGAGTCAACTGGCGTAGTTTCGATTCCATGGTTGTGTGTGACAAGGAGTAGGGTCGTCTGTCCCAAGTTATGGGTTTTCTCCGGGTCCTCCGGTTTTCTCCAATTGCATCATTTTAGCGCCATAGCAATCTTTTATAAACTACAATATTGCGAAAGATAAATCTCTAATAAGAAGAACTGTCAATTATGCAGAGGTTGCGGTTTCGATCTGGTGTTGGTTGAGAAAGTTCATCGGCATGTATTCATTTTATTTGCGATCCTCTTGCACTTACCTATTAACTAATTAATCTTAACATCAACACTTTATTCTTCATATAAGTAGTCACATGGGGTGATGCGACCAACCTGATCACAGTGTAAATTCTAATGATTATAAGTTACGATGTATATTATATATTTCAGCATGAAGAATTGGTTATATTATATAGAAAAGCTGTTGTATCTATCGATGGTTTTAGTTTAATGCAGTCTTTAAGAGCGTGTAGGAATCAAGTTGCTAGAGGTATAACCATTTATATATTAATTTATATAACTCCTGTGATATAAGGTCCAATGAGTATATCTATATTAATATTTGTGACTGTCGTTGTGACTGTAATTGTGAGAACTCGGCTCAGAGTAAAGTAATTTGACTGAAATTTTCAACATATTCCCTTTTCATTATCTATTTTTTAACTATTAGGACTATAGCGAGAACTGTCAGTTCTGTATCTAATTTTACATAATGCCCCTCTAATTTGTATATTTTTATCTAAATATCTCTCAAAATAATTTATATATTTTTATCTAAAAGTCCCTCAAGGAATGTAATTTGAATTTTGTATATTTTCATTTCTATAGCTACAGCAAGTGGAGGAGAATCTGTTTTACAAGTTCCACCATTAGCCTATAAAAAATGGGGTTTACAAGATCAAGATATTATCCATGATCACATCAGCTGTGGTAAGATATAACATACATTATCCATGATCACATCAGCTGTGGTAAGATATGACATACATTATCAATGATCACATCAGCTATTTTAAGATATAACATACATTATTCATGATCACATCAGCTATGGTAAGATATAACATTATCCATGATCACATCAGCTGTGGTAAGATATAACATACATTATCCATGATCACATCAGCTATGGTAAGATATAACATACATTATCCATGATCACATCAGCTATGGTAAGATATAACATACATTATCCATGATCACATCAGCTGTGATAATATAGCATACATTATCCATGATCACATCAGCTGTGGTAATATATAACAATCATTATCAATGATCACATCAGCTATGGTAAGAATTTAGTTATTCGCCAATTAAAAGAGTGCATTCTTGTGAATAAGGCCCTGTGTAAAAGAATTACAAATGAAAATAACATTAATTTCAGGTCTTCAATCATCTAATCCGTTTGATCAGATGAAGACAGCATCATTACTAGGAGGATATGCTGCTGGTGTTAAATCAAGTCCACCTGCTGCTACGATTTATGTGACGTCTGGTGTTGGACCTTATGTTGGTTTCTTTTATGCTGTTGAGGTATGTGTTTTATTTCCTGTATGACAGGTGGACGACTGGCCTAGAGCATTTTTTCTATTTCATAGTATGTCACACCAATATGGTCATGCCACTCATGTAGTGGGAGATGCTACTACGGTCGGATTTATATGACGACTCCCCTCCCCCTCTCCCCCCCACCCCCTACATCATCACGAAGAGATGAAAATAAAGGTGTGCTTCAAACACAATTTAGAAAAGCTGACGATGATGACAGATGTTTGAAACTACGGTGCTTGTATGAAAGTGTCAAAAATATTATACATCTATGCTCTAGGCTTCATTCTGCCAAGCCTGTAGGTAAATCTGGGACTGCCGGCAGGGATGGGCTTAAAAATATCTCAGGATTTTTCAAGCCGTGTTCGGATTGGTCAAGTGTAGCATAACTTGCACGGCATGTAGCAACAAGTGATGTTGACCAATTTGATTAAAACACAGATCCTATTTCGTTTCATTTTTATAGGTCAAAATTTCATTTTTCTTGTATTTACTACACTAGGATCTGGAAGAGTTGTTATCATTGACGTGTTCTGAATGATGTGAGGGAATAGCCAATGAAACGGTCTGTTACGGCAAGCTTTAGGCGTATTTTGCATGGAACTGTGGGTAATCCACTAGTAACATCAATTATGATTGGTTAATCAAATGTCTGACGTCATAGGGTCAAAAGTCCAGCGTATGACCTCTTACACGACCTATCGTTACAACCGGTCAGATCTTCATGTAGTGTAGGCCATCGAAAGTATAAAAAAAACGAAACGAAATATAGATCGGTATTTTAATCAGATTGGATGTTGACTTATATAATTAGCAATTAAAAAAAGTAAGGCAATTATTTTCTTATTTAACATGTTTATTTTAGGGAAGTGCACCACCTATTTTATCAGAAGTTGCTATGGCAATGGCCCACAAAATTAAAAGTGCTTTAATGTCAGCAGCAAGGTAAGGAAACATGAATTTCAAACATACACAGTAAAAACTATTCAATAAAACAATTTTGATAATATAATCTGAAAAGTAATAAAAAAAAAGAAATATGTATTATTTATTTATGGTTTTTTTTATTTGTAGTGGTTGGTTAGGATTTGGAGGAAAAGCGAAAGATGATTCTAAAGATAAACATGTACCTAAAATAGAACAAGCCACACCCCTACCTCTCAGGTAAATAAAAAAAACATGTCCCTAAAATAGAACAAGCCACACCACTTACCTTTCAGGTAAATGATAACATGTCCCTAAAATAGAACAAATCATACCACCTACCTCTCAGGTAAATGATAACATATCCCTTAAATAGAATAATGAGGGACAGGGCCGGGGGTGTTTATGACTGTGTAAATATATTCAGTACATATGATATTATTCACAGTCTGATTAAAACACAGATCCTATTTCATTTTGTTTTTTATAGTTCAAAATTTCGTTTTACTTGTCTTCACAACACTAGGATCTGAAAAAGTTGTTATATAACAGGCGTTCTACTTGATGTGAGGAATTAGCCAATGAGATAGTCTGTTACGGCGAGTTCTTGGCCTTTTTATGCACGGAACTGTGGGTAAACCACTAGAAACGACAACGCTGATTGATTAATCAATGTCTGACTTCATAGGGTCAAAAGCCGCTAGTTTGACCCCTGACGTGAACTCCCACTACAACTTTTCAGATCTTCATGTAGTGTAGGCCATTGAAAGTATAAAAAACAAAACGAAATATATATCTGTATTTTATTCAGATTGTATTATTTACTGATTTAGTTTACCGGATAGAAGTATTTAAATATGTTTGATATTATTTAGAGACTTTGTTTATCTGATAGAAGTATTTAAATAATTATGTTTGATATTATTTTGAGATATAAGTATATATGATATTTTTACAGATTTAGTTTACCCGATAGACGAAGAACTGGTAATAAGATAGTTTTATCACCTAATAGTCATTACGCTGCTGTTACTGGTAGTTTTGGTCGAGTTATATTAATAGATGTTGAGAGAGGAATAGCAGTTAGAATATGGAAAGGTGAGCACACTTGAAGAGTATGGAACTATTTTGCTTTTGTTTCACCTTTACTACAGGAAACATTAAGAATCCCTTATTAGTTTGATTTTGTAAATCAGTAGGCAGAAACGCTTCTGTCCAGACAAGATTCTCCCCTCCCATTGAGGGGCTTTGTATGGCCAAACAGTTAGCACGTGCACGCTGTATCATAAGGTCTGTCATTGAGTCAACTGGCATGGTTTCGATTCCCTGGTAGTACGTGACAAGGATTAGGGTCGCCTGTCCAACCTCGTGTGTTTTCTCCGGATGCTCCTTTTTCCTCCCACTGATAAAGACCCCTACGCGAAATCAGATTATTGAAATAAAATTGAACCATATGTTAGTCCCGAAATGACCTAGTTTGTGTCGAGTGGTCGTTAAACCCCATTTCTCTCTCTCTGTTAGTCTGCAAGTGACTGAAGTATCTTGTTAATAACACGTTAAATCCCTAACCATTTCATACTCATTTAGGTTATAGACATGGTCAGGTTGGTTGTCTGGTCAAAATTATCGCCCTCCTAGTGCACAATTAACTAGTGCTGACACGATGTATTGACTCGCGAGATGCTGAATTTATTTTTTATCGCTTAAGTATATAACCCGTCACTCTTAATATTCCACGCTACAAATTATGCACACACAAACACCCATAAATTATTTGGATCCTTATTTTGATCGGTTGGCCACAAGCAGACAAACAAACAGTAATTGCAATTTTCTTTCACGGTTTTAGTGACTGCAATAATATATCAATTATTCATTTGTCCTGTTGTATTCTTGGTGAATATTGACCTGGTTATGAATCACGATAAGAATTGTAGCGTAGCACTCGAATCGCAATACATATCGAATCGTGACTGCAGTCGCAATATCCAGCACTACAGAATTAAAGATTACAATATTTTAGTCTAAAAATGACCTAGTTTGCTTTGCCAAGATGTTAAACTCTCTTCTATCCATACTTGATTATGAAATGTTTATTGTTTAGGTTATAGAGATGCTCAGGTTGGTTGGATAATGATAAGAGAAGATGATGGACATTCTGGAAGAAATCCTGAACATTCACGAGTAGCACAATTCCTTATTATATATGCACCCAGGAGAGGTATCTTAGAGGTGAGAAATTTATTGTTGCACTGTTAGGGGGGTTGGCTGGCCGAATGGTTAGCACGTGCACGCTGTATCGTAAGGTTTGTCACTGAGTCAACTGGCGTGGTTTCTATTCCTCAGTTGTACGTGACAAGGAGTAAGGTCGCCTGTCTAACCTCATGGGTTTTATCTGGGTCCTCCGGTTTCCTCTCACTGCTAAAGACCCCAACACGGAGCAAATTATTGAAATAAAATTGAACCATGTGTTAGTTCCGAAATGACCTAGTTTGTGTCGAGTGGATGTTAAACCCCATCTCTCTCTCTATCTTGTTGCACTGTTATAAATTGGATGTCTGGGTTTTTATTCAGTATTTACTCAAAATATTTTGTTACCTTCTAAACTGAAAGGTTGGTCTGCCATTGAAACAAGTGGGTTGGTTTCGATCACAGGCTTTTAAGTGACATGGAGTTGGGTCGCCTTCATAGTGTTATATTCGGATCCTTGAACCCTGGGGCTTTACGCAGTCACATGTGGATGAAAAGGAAAAAGATCCATTCTTCATGATATTATAATTCCAGTCTCTTTCTTTTATTACTCAAAAAGGCAGAAGAACTACAACATAAGGTTTCAGACCACAATGATATAGAATATACCACAATATGACAATAGGTTCCACTGCTGCGAGCAGTCAATTATTGGATTAAATTGTACCATAGTTAAGTGCGTAAATAACTTTGTTTGTTTTTAGTGGACCTTAAACCACCATTCTCTCTCCTTAAAAAAGAAGCTTTAAAGATACATTATGGGAGATTAGATAAAGAGCTGGCAGTTCTCACTATAATAGTTAAAAACTAGATAATGTAAAGGGAATTTGCTCAAATTTTCAGTCAAATTGATCCCCTCTGAACCGAGAATTTAGCGATTAAATTTGAGGTCTAGTCTCGATCATCATTACTAAAGTCGGTAGGATAAAAAAATAGTCTCGATTATCCATTTTTTGATTTAATTATGAATGGAAGTCGAACAGCAAATCGGAACGTAATCCGATAAACATCGCAGGCTAGCGATGTCATCTAGAGTTGATTATGGTCTGGATAAGTTAATTAATGTCTAATTAATAATTTAGATAACATTTCAGGCCTAATGTATGTTTAAGAATTCTCAAAATTTTCTTTTATTTGAAATATTTGTAGGTGTGGACAGCAGCGAATGGTCCGCGTGTAGCAGCATTTAATGTCAGTAAATGGTGTCAGTTGGTTTGTCCGTCGTATGGTGTAATGGGTTTAAATAACGTGACCTGCCAGGGAACGAAATATCATTCTTATCAATGTGCTCTCATTGATACTGACGGTGTTATTAAAATAATAGATATTCCCTTTCATTTAGCTTTAAGGTAAGATGTACATTTCTAATTTGGATTTTTATATATCTAATTTGGATTTTCATCATATTTCATCCAACTAAGATCAAGTTTGGATTTTCATCATATTTATGATGAAATTTGGATTTTTATTATATTTAAGATCAAATTTGGATTTTCATCCAGCGAAGATCAAATTTGGATTTTCATCCAGCTAAGATCAAGTTTGGATTTTTTTATCTTATCTAATTAGAATTTTCATCATATTTATGATCAAATATGGATTTGGATCATATCTAAGATCAGATTTGGAAATTCATCATATCTAATTTGGATTTTCATCAGATCAAATTTGGATTTTCATCAGATCAAATTTGGATTTTCATCAGATCAAATTTGGATTTTCATCATCTAATTAAATCTAATATAAATTTTCATCATACCTAATCACATCATATTTTCATCATATCTAATTTTAATTTCTTATAAAATGATTTAATTTATTTCAGTGATAAAAGTAGTAAGAGAGCTAGAGATTTACATTTATTAAAGAAATTAAAGGCCTTGTTAAAGGAGACAACAGAAGAATCTGGTAGGTTATTTACGCCAGAGGGTCACCTGTCCAACCTCTTGGGTTTTTTCCAGGTCCTCTGGTTTCCTCCCACTCCTAAACACCCTTACGCGCAAGCGAATTATTGAAATATAATTGTACCATGTGTTAGTCCGGAAATGACCTAGTTTGTGTTGAGTGGACGTTAAACCCCATTTCTCACTCTCTCTCTATTTACGCCAGACCTCTTACTTAAAATCTTTAATGTAATCTATATTTACATACAGTTTGCTATGCCTCCTTTTTATTTTTAATTATATGATTGGAATCGCAATATATGATAGGTGTCCGTTTTTGACAGTCATAAAATGTTTTTTGTTGATTTGACTGCTTCTTGATGTCATTCGGACATTATGATATATTTTATTACATAGTTTTCACAATTGTCATTAATTAGTTTATCTATTTTTATTATCTAGAAGCTGTTGATTCAACCATTACTGAATTAATTCTTGATATTAGAATAGCTAACATAGCCAAACAGGTGAGCTTAACACAAGGGTTACAAACCTATTGTTTTTATATTTTATTTTTCCAAGTATTATTCCAAAGAAATTATTGTTTTTCAAATCACTCGATCCCAGAGATAAGTTTACCCTGGGAAAACTTGCTGGCCATACGTCGGCCATTTTGAATGTCACATGAAGTATCCTTCCATCGGTCGCGTTTCTTCAGAAATTTCACGTATTTAGCCGAATCACTCACATTGTGCACTAAAAATAGTTCCTGGTAAATCATCAAATTCAAATGAACTTTTGATGTCAAGATGTGAAAAATGTTCCAATAATCATTAATATGTAATTCGTGCAACGTGCCGATGCCAAATTGTCGAGAAATCGGCAGCATTTCATTCTAACAAATCCTGCCAATCAGGAGCCACTGGGGGCGTGGTTTAGGAAATTTAAGACTGATTAATGGCTGGCGAGTTTTACCAGAGATTGGTGACTGCTATGTCTTTATAATTGATAGTGCGGTGAAGTTCCACAACTTCCTTGTTGATTTCTATATTTGTTGTTTTTTAGGGTGTTGAAAGAATACTGGCTGCTAAATATCTTTCACCTAAATTTATGAAAAGTGTAATCAAGGCTTGTATAAAGAAAATAAGTGGTAAAGGTAAGAAGCTTTTAGTCTTCTACATGAATATTTACAGTGGACACTTGTCACTTCCAACATCTGAATACTACAGCATTCTGTGAAATCCGTCATTATTTTTATGTCCCGATTTATTTCCTTATTACCTCAACCAAAAACAAAAAAGTTTTAAGTAATCATCATTCTGAATATTCCGAATTACGACATCAATCAGCTTTCCCGCCACATGATTTCTGTTCTAACATTGAAGCTATGTCTGTAGAAGTTATTTAGCCTCCTACATGAATACGTAATTTATTGTACTTCTTAGTTATAATTCATATTGTGAAATATGATTGGTTTGTTCAGAAGGTAACTGTCTATGATTGAACAGCAGTGGATACTTACAGTAAATTGTTCTCTTATGTGTTGTACAGGTTTTTTTATTGGCTAAACTGACCTCAGATTATCCAGACATTAGTCTTAAAGAATATGATCATTTCTAGCATTTTACCTATAAAGAACATAACAATAACTGTGTTTAAAGGTCAAATTCTTTGAAATTCTAATTCTATGGCATGTAAGTTGACTAACAGGTAAGTTGTCCAGCCAGTTAATTTCACTGTCAGCCAGACCAACAAGTATGACTTAAAAAAGAGCCCTGGAGTAGTACAGTCCTCCAATCTGATTAAAACACAGATCCTATTTCGTTTCGTTTTTTATAGTTCAAAATTTCATTTTACTTATCATAACTACACTAGGATCTGGAAGAGTTGTTATCATTGATGCGTTCTGGATGATGTGAGGAATTAGCCAATGAAACAGTCTGTAGCAGCGAGTTCTTGGTGCACGATGCACGCACGGAACTGTGGTTATCATACTAGAAACATCAACGCTGATTGGTTAATAAGATTTCTGACATCATAGGGTCAAAAGTCGCTCGTAAGACCCCTGACAGGACCTCCCACTACAACTGATCAGATCTTCATGTAGTAGAGGCCATCAAAAGTGTAAAAAAAACAAAACAAAATATAGATCTGTATTTATATCAGACTGTATGTGCGCTGTATCATAAGGTCTGTCATTGAGTCAGCTGGTGTGGTTTCGATTCCCTGGTTGTACATGACAAGGAGTGGGGTCACCTGTCCAACCCCATGGGTTTTCTCTGGACCCTTCGGTTTCTTCCCACTGCTAAAAAGACCCCTACACACAAGCGAATTATTGAAATAAAATTGAACGATATGTTAGTCCCGAAATGACCTAGTTTGTGTCAGTGGATCTCTCTCTCTCTATCTCTCTCTCTCTCTCTCTCTCTCTAGTAATCTTATATGTGAATAATTATGTGCATATATATATTTTGTACATGATATAGATATGAATAATTTTGTGTATTAATATTTCAGGTGATATAAATCAAGATATTGATAGTCGATTATTTCTACGATATTGTCAATCACAAGATTGTCTACTACAGAGTTATAATATGATACAAGGTTTCTCTACTAGTGGCAATAGTCCTGATACATCACCAGAGGTACAGTCAGTCATATTAACATTTCTCCTATTAACACACTTTGTATATTTGACTGGTGTCGTTCCCTCCCTGTCAGTATGTATAGTCATTCGGATGGGACCAAAAAATGAGGTCCTGTGTACACATTGACAGTTGGAATTCAGAATAAGAGTAAGGCATAGCACCGCTGTCTTGACAAAATTTCCCTCATATTAACATTTCTTTGTATATTTCCAGTGTGCTTCCGCCCTGTCAGTACGTATAGTCGTACGGATGGGACAAAAAAAACGAGGTCCTGTGTATACATTGGTGTGTATGTAAACGAACCCTCGGTATAAGTGTGAGGCATAGTGCCGCTGTCATGGCAAATTTTCCCCATATTAACGTTTCTTCTGTAAACACACTTTGTATATTTCCGTTGTAGTTCCTGTCTGTCAGAACATATAATCGTTCGGATGGGACAAAAAAAAAAACGAGGTCCTGTGCACACATTGGTGTGTATGTAAACGAACCCTCGGTATAAGTGTGAGGCATAGTGCCGCTGTCATGGCAAATTTTCCCCATATTAACATTTCTTCTGTAAACACACTTTGTATATTTCTGTTGTAGTTCCTGTCTGTCAGAACATATAATCGTTCGGATGGGACAAAAAAAACGAGGTTCTGTGTACACATTGGTGTGTATGTAAACGAACCCTCGGTATAAGAGTAAGGCATAGTGCCGCTGTCTTGACAAAATTTCCCTCATATTAACATTTCTTCTATAAACACACTTTGTATATTTCCGTTTGTGGTTCCCCCCTGTCAGTACGTATAGTCTTTCACATGGGACAAAAAAAAACCTGAGGTCCTGTGTACATATTGGTGTGTGCGTAAAAGCACCCTTGACAGTTGGAATTCAGAATAAGAGTGAGGCATAGTGCCGCTGTCCAAGCAAAATTTCCCTCATAGCACACTGCATGGCATATGCCTGTCTTCATTAGCCCAGTTGGATTTTCACAATCTATAAGAATTTGGGAAAAAGTGATAATTCGGATTCATATAATTGCTGTCTTACAAGACATTTATATATATTTATTTATTTTATTGTAGTGTTTGTGCCGTCTGCTTGGTGTGACACCATCAGAATTAGAATCTATACAATCTAGTCTAGATAGTGATATGAAAACTACAACAACCACCCCAGATAAACGTGTTCAATTTAAAGACAACAATTCTACGTTACCTATTACATCATATTTACGATGTTTTGAATGTCAAGTTCACTTGTCAGATCATGATGCCAGTAAATTTACTTCTATATCCGTTATAAAGTCTCTGTCATCTGATAGACGACTTGCATTAGGTAAGATTGACTTTTCCAAAGATTATTATTATTATTTGCTTTACAAATATGGTTTTAGCACTATACGTAACATATCGGTTTTTAAACATACATTATGCAAGAGCTAAATCTGCCAATTGCAGGGCTTTCTTTAGGCCTGAAATCTTATCTAAATTATTAATTAAAGATACATTGTGGGAGATTTTTATAAGGAGTTAGCCATTCTTGCTATAACAGTTCAAAAATAGATGATGAAAGAAGAATATATTGAAAATTTCAGTCAAATTACTTTATTTTGAACATAGTTATCACCAGTGTCATTTTTGACTAGAAATGGGATTGAATTCCATCTTCACCGATTCTTAGTATGGCCGATCGTTTGATTGACAGGCGTTAACTCCACCTACATAATCTCTGCTGTCTTTTGTCTGCTTTCATCATATCCGAATTTGTGTTTTACCTTTTTGGATTTTTATAACAATTGGACAAAATGAGTGAGAGGGCAAATTTTCATTCTTACTTGTATTTTGGGCATGCATTAAATCAATTGAATATAGGACATAATATTATAATACAATTATGATAAATCTATAGGTATACACCAGTGGCGTCGTGCCTATTGGGGAAATAAAAATATTTTTATTTATATTATTAAAAATATTTTTATTGATATTATTAAGACAGAAGACCTGTCCGTCTGTATTAGTCATCACATGGTCTCCAGGAATTGTATAATTTGTCATTATCTGTGTTTAGTTTATTGCACTTTAAATAGTTTAGATGTCATTTGTTAAGGAAAGGCTCAACAGCTGCCTCGCTTCGTACACTCTATCATTTAGCCTCGATCCGGGAGTATGACGTCAACGTAATGGTTAATCTCCGCTCACCACGCCATTTAAAATTAAATCAGTCAACGAAATCCTGTTTAAATCCAAGCTGAATCCAAGCCATCTGTGGGTCTACAGAGTTGATTTTGTGCTTGTTGTGTAAATAAAGATCTCATTTATAATTTCTATGACATCTGAAGCCTAAATAAAGACTTGCAATAATCAGATTTAGCTCTTGCATAATGAATGTTTAACATATCCAGACCATAATCAACTCTTGATGTCATCACTAGCCTGCGATGTTTATTGGATTATGATCTGATTTGCTGCACAACTTTCATTCATGATATAATCATGAAATGGATAATCGAGACTATGTTTTTTATTGTACCGACTTTAGTAATGATGATCAAGGCTTTAAATGGGACTGTGCATCTAGCTTGTTTTTAATATGTGTATCCTCACAAATTCAAAGAGACAAATTGAGAACTATATTTCCTTGGCTACTTGTGCTTCACAATGAATTATTGCACTATGTTGTATATTTTCAGCTACGTTTATATTTGATAGATGTATTTGTGGGAGTGTTTCTTCTAGTGATCTAAGTGTAATGTTACAAGATAGTAATTTACCACCAGACAACATTATGGTAACATATTTTAAAACTTCCCCTTTTCAAAGCCATTTTTTACACATAAGCTATCACTGCAAATCATTTAATCTTGTGGGGGGGTTGGATGGCTGAATGGTTAGCGTGCGTGCGCTGTATCATAAAGTCTGTCATTGAGTCGACTGTCGTGGTTTCGATTCCCCGGTTGTACGTGACAAGGAGTAGGGTCGCCTGTCCAACCTCGTGGGTTTTCTCCGGGTCCTCCGGTTTCCTCCCACTGCTAAAGACCCCTACGCGGAAGCGAATTATTGAAATAAAATTAAACCATATGTTAGTCCCGAAATGACCTGGTTTGTGTCGAGTGGACGTTAAACTCTCTCTCTCTCTCTCTCTCTTTTAATTTTGTGTATTTAGCACTAATTTCTTTCACATTCATTCAAAATCAAATCTTTGTTTAACAATTTGTAAAAATCATTTAAAATCACCCAAAATCATCTAATTTGTACTTGTTTCCAGTTTAAAGCTGACAATTCAATTTTGGTAATGAATGTCCAATTTACAAGTGTTTAATTTCTAAATCACTGTTAAAAAATTAACAACCCAATTGATCATTGATGTATAATGATTAATTTTTGAACAGTGATCGAGAAATTTTAATTTAATCGTGTATCTAGCACCAATTTCTTTCATGATCGTTTAATATCAAATCTTAAACCCATTTAAATTGGACACTCATCATCAAATTAGATGATTTTGGGTGATTTTAAATGATTTTTATGGATTTTTAAACAAAAAATTAAACGAAATATTTATTTATTTTTTCAGAATTTATTATTATTATACTGGTTATCTATTAATGAAAGATATATATGGTCTATACCTAATTTACATCATGTTATAAAATCTATAACAGCCATGACAGGTATAGTATTATTATACATACAACAATTTGATCACAATTCCTTTACACCCTAAAGACTCTAGTTGTTCATAATTCTTTTACATGTGAAGAGTCCAGTGGAAGAACGATCTAAGTCACATTTTTGTCTTTTCGCATAAAAGGCCAAACAGACTTTTGGACGAGAATGCTTGACGCGAACAGAACAACAAGTGGGTTTAATTACAACTTCATAATTACCAGTACAACAACTAACTTCCACTTTTCAGCCAAATTAAGGTCAAATAAAGGGTACGATGGACGTATTTGTCCGGACGGCCATTTCAGAAGGGCCTTGGTTTGATGTGACTCCAATCGTTTTTACCTGAAATTAACTGTTCCACAGAAAGCTTATACAATTTGCTACCATATGGCGCTATTAACTGGGGTTCGACATTAAATGAACTTAGCATTTGCCTTTGATTGCATGAAATGTGTAAGTCCATTGACAAACAAACATAAAATGAACGTATAACATGAATTTTGTTCATTTTGCCAGATAAGAGTGATGTACTGGTAGATAATAATGCTATATCACCATGGTGGCAGAAAGTGAGAGATCAGTGTAGCCATAGCGACCATATCCAATCGGCTTACATTGCAGCTTTAACTTGTAAAGGGGTTGCAACTGAAATGCTTGGAAACCAAACTAAAGCAAAAGTAGGTTGAATTTATTTGTGAATTTACAAATTATATGTTTACCGAAGTTACAAATCCAAATTTCTTTTTATGCTTTGGAGGTTTGCCATGAGCATCTTAACCTCTGAAGTCCAAACTTTCGTAGTATTTGACAAAAGTATGTAGTGATAACCATCTTATCAGAATATGTTTGACATGATATCCTATTGTAACTGAATGGTTTTGTACATTTTAAAAATGTTGTAGAACGCTCTTAAGCAGGGATCTTAATCAGCTGTTTTTTGTTGGCTTTAGCCAGTTGATCTTTAATCTAGCCAATTGGTAAAACAATGAACCGGCCATCAATCTACTTTCGGCCGATTACAAAGAGTTAATTATTAAGAAATCCATCAAAGAGTCAATCAATGCAATATGAATACCTTTGACATCAATCGTTATTGGCTCATTTCCTAAATAAACAACTTAGTTAAGTTAATCATGCCAAGTAAAAGAATGTATATAATCCATTGTCCGTTCGTTTATTTCAGGGGGGTTGGGATGGCCTAGTGGTCTAGAGAGCCGCGCTTCAGCCTCTAGCTTGCCAGTCACCTCTGGCTTGCGGCTGTGGTTTTGATCCCTGGTGTGAGCGTATGTGGCTTGGAGATAGGGGTGTTTTCTCAACCTCGTGGGTTTACTGCGGTTACTCCGGTTTCCTCCCACAGGAAAGACGTGTGCACTATGATAATAAAAATGAAAAACAAGACTTGTTTGTGATATCACCTTCTGTGGAAGCGAACATTAAACACTAAGAACAACAACAACAACATTTATTTCTATGTAACACAATGTTGAACGCCTCCCAGAATGACAACAGGAAACGTAAACGAGATTTAGCCTTTATAGAATAGTTGTAAATATTGACTACCTTACTTCCCTGATATTATGGAACAGTAGCTCATTGTCCGAAACTGCTGCTCCCTAGATCTCCTTTAACTGCTCGAGTCACACAACTAGATATAGAGTCCTTAAATAATAGTTAGGTGGTCGAATGGTGAAACGCATGCATGTTGGATCATAATTTCTGTCATTGAGTCAACTGTCTAGTTGTTCGGATGGGCCAAAAAACCGAGGTCCAGTCTACACATTGGCATGCACGTAAAAGATCCCTTGGCAGTTGGAATTTGATATAAGAGTAGGCCGTAGCGCCGCTGTTCGGGCAAAATTTGCCTCATAGCACACTGTATGGCGTATGCCCGTCTTCATTAGCCCAGTTTAGGAGCAGAACAGTAGGACGTTAAACCCCATTTCATTTCATTTTATTACAGGATCCTGATGCTGACACAGCTAGTTGTAACTCTGATAAAACTGATTTATCTGAGTGGGAATCTCTAACAGTCGACATGGAACATTGGAATGTTCTAGTTAAACAATTAGATGATGTACTGGCAATTAGCCATCTGTTACAATTCAAACTACCAACCAATCAGCATAGCAATGTAACTAAATTAGAACCAATCACAGTGTCTGTTACAAAATTACTCGAAGGTGGCAGAGGTGAGATGAATTACAGTCAGTTATTTTGAATAGTGTTTAACATCTATCTAGTAAGCGTTAGGCTTAACTGTTCAAACTGTTGTGTCTTCCACTTTACGAGAGGTCCAAGAAATAACTCCATTGTCTGCGATTTATAGCATTCAATCTTTTTGAATTAATTGTGACGCCCATGGAAAGAACGAAGCTAGATTCAATTTCAGTTATTTTCAATTATGACTTTTTCTTTATTGATGTTGGAGATGACAAGGCTGCTGGTAGGCGTATGTTTTGTTGCTGATCAAGGGGATTGACATTTCATTTGTTAACATGTCACTTAATGATAATTTTATATCCAAATGTCATGCGATGGTTGAATTAAATTGTCTATTATTGTTTTTGTGTGTAGGTTCAATATCAGAAATAGTAGCGAGGTATGCAATGAGACTAGGATTGGGTCCTCGTTCCTTGTATCGTAAACTCACGCTAGTCAATAATCATACAGACGATTCTAGTCAACAGATCACAGAAACTGATATAGATGCTGAGGAAGAAGTTAAAACACCTTTAGAGCAGATACAAGGTAATTAGTTGGTTATTACCTTATTAGGGTGACAAAGAGTTGCGTCATCTTTGTATGGCATTTATCATTGAACATAATATAACACAACACAGTTCTATGCAATCTAATAAAATACAAATCCATATTTCGTTTCGTTTCTTTTTGTCCCCCGCCTTTCGAAGAAAGCAGGGGACTATTAAAATGGGTTCGTCCGTCTGTCTGTCTGTCTGTCCGTCACACTTTTTTGGGACACAATAACTCTCCTTCTAATTGACCTAGAATGTTCAAACTTGGTGTAGGTGTTTATTAGGTCAATGCATTGATGGAGTTCGAAGATGAGCATTTTCTGCTTAGGGTAAGCAGAGATAAGCAATTTGATTGGTTGATGCTTTGGGACACGATAACTTTAGTTCCAATTAAGTGAGAGTGATGAAACTTGGTGTATAGTTTCATTACATCAATACCTTGACTAAGTTCGATATTGAGCATTTTCTGCTCGGGGTAAGAAGAGCGATAAGCAATTTGATTGGCCGAGACTTTGGAACACAATAACTCTCCTTCTAATTGAGTTAGAATGTTCAAACTTGGTGTAGGAGTTTATGAGGTCAATGCCTTGATAGAGTGCATGGATGAGCATTTTCTGCTTATGGTAAGTAGAGATAGGCAATTTGATTGGTTGATGCTTTGGGACACGATAACTTTAGTTCTAATTAAGTGAGAGTGATGAAACTTGGTGTATAGTTTCATTACATCAATACCTTGACTAAGTTCGATGATGAGAATTGTCTGCTTAGGCTAAGGAGCAATAAGCATTTTGATTGGTCAAGACTGTCGAACATAACTCTCCTTCTAATTGAGGTAGAATGTTTAAACTTTATGTAGATGCTCATCTTGATTGAGTTCAATGATTAACATATCGAGCTAAAGCTAAGCAGAGATAAGCAATTTCCTTGGTCGATGCTTTGGGACAAGATAACTTTGGTTCTATCTGATAGAGAGTGATGAAACTTAGTGTATAGTTGATAATCAGTTTGATTGCTTGATACTTTTGAAAAAAATAGATGTGCGATTAATTAATATGTGTCATCTATTTATTTGGGGATTTCGGCGGGGGACATTAGCCTTACTGTTGGCTTGTTTATACTTTTGATGGAAATCTGACAAGTTGAGGGAGGTCATGTCAGAGGTCATACAAGCGGCTTTTGACCGTATGACGTCATACAAGCCTACTCTTATATCGAATTCCAACTGTCAAGGGATCTTTTATGTGAACGCCTATGGTTTTCCGTCCCATCCGAATGACTAGACAGCTGTCCTTGTCAGACCCTCCGTTCTGCATCACTGACAAGGGGGAACCACACCATAAAATATATTGATATAAAAATGTGGTTTCGTTCAACACAACCAGAAAAGAGTTTTAGCTAGAAATTTTTTACAAAAAATTTGTGTTTTACAGATCAGTTACAAGTATTGAGAGAAAGATTTCCACATAGTTTAGAGAATGATATATTATTATCTAATTGTTGTTGGGAATATGCTGCTCAATGGAACAGAGAGCCAGAGGTAGGTTTCAATATTGTTACGATTTGTTATATGAAAATACTAATAATCAACTGCAGTGTAAATGAAATGTGAACACGCCATACAGTTTTGCTATGCGGGAAATTTTGCATTACTGCCTACTTTTATATTGAATTCTGACTGCTAAGGGATCTTTTACAAACGACTAGACATATGTCCTTGTCAGGCCTCCGTCCTGCACCACAAACAACTCTGCCAGAAAATCGTGATGAACTTTTTCGGCCAAAACACGGATTGAACCTGCGACCTCCAGGCTAGCGAGCCATCGTCTTACTCACTTTGCCACCTTGGCTCCCCACGTTTGAATAGAACAAAAAACGAAGTTCCATGTATACCATTATCAGCATGCTAAAGAATTTCTAACAGTTGGAAATCATAATAAGAGTAAGCCATAGTGCTGCTGTCTGGGCAAAATTTCCCCCATAGCACAGTGTATGGCATATGCCCGTCTTCATTAGCCCAGTTGGTGCAGAGAGTAAACTTCATTTCATTTTATTTCGCTGAATTTATAAAAAGTAAAATACAGAAATTTCGATCTTTGTGATTTATGAGATTGTATTTTGTCATTTTGAGTGACCAAACTTACAAATTATGGATAATTAAATATTTCCAGATTGTGAAGAATTTAGAATTATCAGTAGAATATTTGAAATTGGTGCAAAATGCTTTACTTAGACAAGGTTAGTTAATGTTTTCTTTATAAAAATTATCATTTAAATCTTTACTTATTTAAAATAAGGTGGGGCTGGGTGTCCGAATGGTTTAATATGTGTGCTTTAGATCATAAGGTCTGACATTGAGTCAAGTTGAGTGGTTTTGATTCATTGCTTGTACATGACAAGGAGTAAGTTTTCTCCAGACCCTCCAGTTTCCTCACACTGCTCAAGACCCCTGTGGTTTCGAATCCCCGGTTGTACGTGGCAAGGAGTAGGGTCGCCTGTCCAACCTCGTGGGTTTTCTCCGGGTCCTCCGGTTTCCTCCCACTGCTAAAGACCCCTACGCGCAAGCGAATTATGTAAATAAAATTAAACCATATGTTAGTCCCGAAATGACCTAGTTTGTGTCGAGTGGACGTTAAATGCCATTTCTCTCTCCTCAAGACCCCTACACTGCACAAGCAAATTATTGAAATAAAATTAAACCATGTGTTAGTCCTGAAATGACCTAGATTGTGTCAAGTGGACGTTAAACCCCATCTCTCTCTCTCTCTCTCTCTCTCTCCCTCTAGAAGAGCAACAAGAAAAATGTAAACATCTTTCAGACCTTGAAGTAATGATTTTACTGTATCGTTGTCAGGCACTAATAAACTAGTAACTGACATTTTTAATTTTATTCTGGATATGTATTACAAATATTATTTTAAAAGGGGGTTGGAAGGTCTAGTGGTTTAATGTGTTTGCATCAAATCATAAGGTCTGTCATTGAGTCAAGTGGCGTGGTTTCGATTCCCCGCTTGAACATGACAAGGAATAGGGTTGTCTGTCCCATCTTGTGGGTTTTCTCTGCCTGCTCCGGTTTCCTCCTACTGTTAAAGTGTTAAAGACCCCCTACATGCAAACAAATTATTGAAATAAAAAAAAAAGAACCATGTGTTAGTCCCAAATTGACCTAGTTTGTGTCGGGTGGACGTTAAACCCCATTTCTCTCTTTTTCTCTATTATATTAAAAAATCCTGGTTGGAGAAAAGTGACAGACACCAAAAACTTTGTGCCTGACAATGTTTGTGACAGGTGCCTTGTTTTGAGAATTGTCTATCATTAGAAAATATTAAAAATAATATTTCCATATGTTACTATTTTTAGGTGTATGTAGTTTATTATGGCACATGTTTATATTAAAAAGATTCTCAGCTGCAGTTTATCTCATGGACAAGGTAAGAGTTATTTGTGTAGTGTAGTTGGGGGTGGGGGGGTGCATGACCGAATAGTTAGCATGTGCGCGTTGCATCATAAGGTCTGTCATCGAGTCAACCGATTACCTAGTTTGTGCCACGTGGAGGTTGATACTGTATCTTTTAGATCTTTTCAAAGAAACCACATAATTCATTGATAGAACGCCCATAACATGTAAATATAATATGTTTTTTAAAAAAAAAACAATCAAATTTTTTTTTTATAAACACATTTTGTAGAAACAACCCCCAAAAATAGGAAATAAAAATTGAAATGAAACAATAAAGGATAGAGAAGATATATTCTAAATTAATGTTTTTCGTAACCTTCTCATGTTTTATTAGTGTTTACTTGTAATTTAGGTTGGTAAAGTTCCTAAAGAAAGGTTATGTAGAAAGGTATGTAATCAGTTTAATTCTCTCTGTATAAACCCATTTAAATTGTTTAATTCATTTTATAATCAGTTTAATTTTAAAATAAATGAGAACTGGACTACAATTAGATTCTTTTAAAATAAACAAGAAAATGAAATATCATGGAGTGTTTAAACTCTGAGGGAGCCACATTGAATCGGAGAGTGTGACACTGCTCATTAAGAAAAAGGTTCCGTGTTTGATTCCGGTGTTCTAGGGATTTTGCTGCAAGGTCTCCCCCTTGTCAGTGGTGAAGGTCAGAGGGCCTGACAAGGAAATCTCTTGACAAATCTATTATTTTATTTATAGGAAGTAGGAATGAGTGATACAGATTTATTATCATTTATTGGTTCGACAGCAGATGTCTTACAAATTACCATGGATGTAAGTACTAGAACCTATGATATTAATTTCTTACATTTGTCGGGGGTTGGATGGCCAAATTGTTAGCATGTGCGCGTTGTATCATAAGGTCTGTCATTGAGTTAACTGGCATGGTTTCAAATCCCAAGTTGTACGTGACAAGGAGTAGGGTTGTCTGTCCAACCTCATGCGTTTTCTCCGGGGCCTCTGGTTTCCTCCCACTGCTAAAGATCCCATTTCTCTCTCTCTCTCTCTCTCTCTCTCTTTCTCTCTCTCTCTCTCTTAATCTGTCATTTAGGACTATGACTTGATCTTCCACTGGAAATAAACCAGTTTACATTGTGTAATTGGGTTTCATGGAGTATCCTCAAGACAAGAATCAGATTATTCATAATTTTTGTTTTTGTCATGAATGTATCTGTTTCTTAGAGTAAATAAATATGAAGACCTTCTTTCAGTTGGTAAACAAAAGGCCTTTGGTGGTCAACAAAAAAATCATGTTGGCTTTGACTAAACCAATGAAATGAGGGAGTGTATGAATTAGATTTTATTCATTGCTAAAATACGGATGTTTTAACCTTCACCGTCTTCATTAGCCCAGTCGGAGCACACAGTAGGACGTTAAAACCCCATTTCATTTCAATTTTTAACTTTTAATTTATAAGTTGTCAACGAGTTTAACAGCTTGGTCAGTGCTCTAATTTTCAGTATTTTGGGGAATGAAATTTTATTTTAGCATGAATGAAATTGCTCAGAATTAATTACATTTATTTTTTTGGTGAAAATGGTAATGCCTCTTTAATATTGGCATGATATAATCTCTAACAGGTTATTGGGAAATCTCTCTCATAATTAAACCCAGTGCAGTACTCTGCGAAGTGACACAAGTTCCATTAATATTAAAATAATGTTATATTTGGATCCTAGGATCCTGGGGTATTACACAGTCACCTGTGGGTGAAGAGGAAAACACAACCATTCTCCATGTTAGAATTCCAATCTCTTTCTTTCACTCGGCAAACCTCAGCAGATTCCAGTACCCTGCATCTAGCCTCGGCTGTATAACGAAATCCGCCATTGGAACTACTTTCAAATTCCCGGATTAACAACGGCGTTGCCCATGACGACGCCTTTGAAGAATGTTTTATCATATAAATATTTCAAAGTTCTTTCAAGTTTATCCGATTTTCTTCAAACAAGGACAGCTTTGCACTGAAAATTCTAACACACTTCGTACGATGCAATTTTGATAACTTATTTTTAAAAGCGGCAAGTTCTCCTAATAAGTAAACCGGTGCCGCATTTCATTTGTATAGATGTAGAGTAACGGAATCTGCCGAGGTTTGCCGAGTGCTCTTTCTTTATTACTCAAAAAGGCAGAAGAACTACAGCATAAGGGAGACAACTTGTGTCTAATTAAACATAAGGTTTCAGACCACAATCATATACAATATACTACAGTATGACAATAAATAACTCCCCAGATGGTACACAATGCAGGGCCTGGCAAGGAAAAGAGTTTGGATGGGATGAAAAAGCAAGGTCCTCTGTTTACCATTGGCATCACATTCCAGATATCTTGACAGTTGGATATTGATATAAGAGTAGGCATTAGTGCTGCTGTTAGGACAAAATTTTTCTCATAGCACACTGTATGGTGTATGCCATCTTCCTTAGCCTGTTAATCAAGCACCTGTTACATCCTTTGTCAAGTACGAATTATCACACAATATATAACATGTACATAATGTAATAATTCGTACTTGACAATGTCTGTGACTGGTGCCCAATGTTCAGGCTTGCTGTTAATGCAGAAAAGTGGGATATTAAACCCCATTACGTTACCACGGTAAAGAGAAATACAATGTTTATACAATGTTATCCTATAGGCTAATGCTGACTGTCGTATAGAATTTACACAAATTCCTGTCAGAAGACGATCGTATACTGTAAGATATTTCATCTCTAGAAATGATGTTTGAGTTAAAGATTGGTTATGATTAGATGCATGATGGTTTTTATTACGCCCATATTGAAATGTGGAGGTATGTTGTCGTCATCCCTGTTCGTCCATCCGTCGTCCATAATCAGGACAAATTATACACAGGTTCAGGACAGCTATTGATTTTCAACGATTTCAGACCATTAGTTACATTATTTCTGTTCATGAGACAAAAAGAGTGATTGATTTTTAATTTAGCTGCTGTGGGCGTAAGTTTTGTTGCCTGGCAACCTATCATTGAATGTTATTTGTTTTGATTAGTATTTAAATTCTGTTAAAAAATTGAATCTGCATTCATCAATTTAATATCCTTACCTTCATGTTAGGAATTCATCACATATCAAACTCAACAAGAATCTGAAAATGTCTCACCGTGGTAATGTCATTAGAAACTAACATGGTATAACTTCAGAGATGCTGAAGTTATCACAGATTTTTGTTTGAAATAATAAGGATGCAAAAATTCTTCATTGTTTTGTAGCTAAATGGAGTATTTACGTTTTTTGTAATAGATTTAAAATCAAGCTTCTGTTTGGTGTCACATCTGTTCATGTTTGAATTCCATTTCTGTTTGGTTCAGTTTCTAATGATATTAACCAGAGATCTGTTGTAAGATTTAACAGAAATATTGCATTGTTTCCTTAGATGTTACATCAGTCATTTGATTAACCAACATATACAGGGAAAGTGAAAGTAGAATATTATATTACTTGTATTACAATGTAGATATATTTGATATGAGAATTATCTAAACATCTAAATTCCTCACCGATCATCATTTGTTTTAACTCCCAGGATATGAAAAACATCAAATAAAAAAAATATCGCTGTTCTTTTACACAAATTTATGAAAAGAAAGCCGAAAATATGAACGAAATGGGATGAAAATTATTTTTTTCTAAAAAACATTTCTATGGTTATGTGTTCAGTGTCCCAAAGCTCCTTTCACCCTACTCCTAATCACCATCAAATTCTGGCTGCCAAGGATCATCTTGAAAGTGTGCTTGTATCTTATATTTTTGTCCCATCTGTAATGCTAGACACATCTTGTCTAGCTATGCAGACATAACGGTATCATGACTGTCCAATCAACCAAGTCAGGAGTTTAGAGATCACATTATCACTACAATCCTAGTGTGCTGCATGGAGATGTGTTATTACTAAAATTGGATTTAACAGTTTTTATCTATTTTTTATTCAATAACGAATAACGAATCAAATTTTAAGCCTTCACAGACATCTTGAAATTTTTGAGGTTGTTAAGTTGGTCTGAAGTAAATTGTAAATTGACTGACAGGAAAATACTAATTGGTCAAATTTCACTGCCAGTCAGTCAGGACTTGTAAATTTTACTGAAATGAGAGCTAAAATACTTAAATACCTCAAAATTAAAACTTTCAATCCTTATGTAGCCAAAACCATAAGTCAACCAAAGTAAAAAAGCAGAACAAATGTTTCCTACTCCAAATTATCTGTTAATCATAGAATTTTTTGTGTTTTAATCATAAAGTAGACAATTGTTTACAATTTCAGGTAAATTGTGAGGCTAATGAAATCTAGAGAAGCGTAACTGAGATTAAATTCAAATTATTTTCTTTCATAGAATCATCTGTGTTTGAATTATAATGTAAAAAAAACACAATTTATATGGAAAACAATCACTGGTTTATACACATATAGCAAGACGTTTCGACTAGTATTCTCTTATCGTTATCAAGTAGAAGTATCAAGTATAAACCAGTGATTGGTTTCCATATAAATTGTGTTGTGTTTTTTAATGTGCTCAATCGCTAAAATTATAATTATAATTGTTTATAATTTTAGGCTAATTGTGAAGCTAATGAAGTTCCCGTTTTTAATCTGGAGATGTTATGGCAGTCATCAAGAGGTCCAGCATCATTATCAGAACTAGCTGTTGATCAGAAGAATACTAACTATGGTTTATTAAAACACCATCTACATCTAGCCCGTATTATACAAGCTATACTTGTATTTAATATTAAATCTACTAAAGTATTAACCCTTTTTGATACTAAGGTACGTTAAAATTGTCACAAGAATGGCAATCTGATAAAATACAGACCTTTATTTCGTTTCGTTTTTTTATACTTTTGATGGCCTACACTACATTAAGATCTGACCGGTTGTAGTAAAAGGTCGCATCAGAGGTCATACGAGTGGTTTTTGACCCTATGATGTCAGACATTTGATCAACCAATCAGCATTGATGTTTCTAGTGGATTACCCACAGTTCCAAGCACCACACACCAAAAGCTCACTGTAAACAGACCTTTTCATTTGCTAAACCCTCACATCTTCCAGATCCTAGTGTAGTAAAGACAAGTAAAACAAAATTTTGAACTATAAAAAAACGAAACGAAATAGGATCTGTGTTTTAATCTGATTGCAAGAATGCTTTTATTTATGTTGTTTGGAAGTTTAGTCAATCTATGCTGCTTGTTATGCAGTAAGCCTGCCACCATTTTGTTGTCCGTGAAATTTAATGATAGGCCTATTCTAAATCTTGATTCAGTCCAAGCAAATGGAACAGCAGGACTTTAAATAGACAGCTTCTTTTTTAACAGTATATTGCTTAGGAATATACGTGAAACTTTGCATATTTTATTGTTCAGTTGTCAAAGACACAACATTCTATATTATTAATAAGATGATTTGAACATTTAAATATTTTAAGAAACGTTTGTGTATACATGTCTTATATTTTTATTTTGTAATTTTAGGGTAAAAATGCCTTCTTTAAAGAATTGCATTCCCATCCACTTTTACCAAACCAAAATGTTGATGCCAATTTATCAAACAGTCGAACATTAGTAAGTACTATAATAAATATTTAGTGCTCCTTTCTTTTCAAAACATTTTTTAATTGGACCCAATTTTACTTAACATCTGTCATGTTTTTAATTGTGTACTGTTAACAGCCAATGCAAAACGCAACTCTTATAATGACACCAAGACGCTGTCCATCTATTTATAAAAATTCACTGAAGTGTACAACAGAACCGTCATCAGCCATCTGAACAGCATAAAAACTTAGATATAAGTGTGTGTGAAATAGCTTTATTTAACGTCCGCTTCCACCGAAGTGATTTCGTAGAGAAATTAGATATAAGTTAAATAAAACACTATTTGGATAACAATTACTTTGGTTTATTTCACTGCTATTGTTATCCATATAGTGTTTTATTTGATCATGTTCCAATTACTAAATCTCATTCAAAGAATATAGATATAATTTGTTCATTTTTTAATTTTTCTGATACTATTTTTTCAGTTTTTATGTCGAGTTATAAGTCAAGCTGTGCAGACATTAGAAATACCAGGTGCTGATACCAGTGGTTTATCTTCCCCTTCTAAACGAGCCAAGACAGCAGCAGTACGATGGCCTGATATAGCGATAGATCTGGGGAAAGAGTTTGGTTTAGATATAGATTATATAAAACAGTGTCATGTACGAGAACTATATTCAGGTGGACATGATAAATTAGCTGAAGAAGTAAGATTTTATTCTTTACTATTATAAGCCTATCCCCATAGCAGGAAATATCATTGAATAAACTTGGTGGGGGGGTCTAATCGTTTAATGTGTGCACATGAAATCATAAGGTCTATCATTGAGTCAAGTGGCGTGGTTTTGATTCCCCGGTTGTACGTGACAAGGAGTAGGATCGCCTGTCCAACAGCATGGGTTTCCTCCAGGTTTTCCTGTTTCCTCCCACTGCTAAAGACCCCTACATGAAAGCAAATTATTGAAATAAAATTGAACCATATGTTAGTCCCAAAATAACCTAGTTTGTGTTGCATGGACATTAAACCCCATTTCGCTCTCTCTGTCTATTTGAGTAGTTGATACCAGAGACTTCCACTTCAAAAATTAATTGCCGGTCAGATAAAGACTGACCAATACTCCTGAAACAGGAGGCCTGGTTGATACTTGAATAATAAAAATACAGAACAATTTGTCATAATTGTAATTAAACAATCTGTAGTACAGTCAATATAGCAAAATAAAATATTTATATTTCAGATATTACCAACAGTAAATGATCATGAGAGATTAGGATATGAGTTATTAACAATAACAGGTCAGAGAATGTTTCATTATTTATTTGAAGTTGATCCACCTGGAGCTGTTAATCTTATAGCTGATTTATCTACATCATTATCTACATGGTTAAAATCTATGGTAAATATCAACAAATTTTCTAATCAGAATAGTTAAAAGGTAGATGGGGGGAGGGGGGGGTGGATGGCCAAATAGTTAGCACGTGTGTGCTGTATCGGAAGGTCTGTCATTGCGTCAACTGGTGTGATTTCTCTTCCCTGGTTGTATGTGACAGCATGGGTTTTCTCCATGTCCTCCAGTTTCCTCCCACTGCTAAAGATCCATACGTGCAAGCGAATTATTAAAATAAAAAAATTAAACCATATGTTAGTCCCGAAATGACATAGACTGATTTTATAATTTGATTATGTCTGAATCGTGAAAACTACTTCTTTTATCGACAGTGTCATCATATGACATATTCTTCATATTGTAGGATTCCACACAGTTAAGGAAACCCAGCGTTCCACTGGATGATACAGCTACTCTGATTGGTCACGCTACTAGTAATTTACCAGAAGGTTCAACAGAATATGAAACAGCGATATCATTGGTCGAAGTCATCCAAGCCTTGAAATAAACACATCACAGGCATTATTTGTGTCCTGTTGCACCATACATACATAAAATTATGGACATGAAAGACGATACTCAATTCGGTTCTCTCGAACGCGGAAACAGGCAAAGGACTGATCATGTTATATTCGGTAACAAAGCATTTGTCAGTTGAATACAAAAATATATCCTCCAATCACTATTGTGATAGGATTCACCATCGTACAGTTCAACTGGGTTCTGGTTAATCTAGAAACATATCTTGTCATCTGATCGATATTGCACACATCAGAAATTGTGTT